TGTACCTCCACCTGGGCGCGCCTGGCCAGCGTGCCGGGGCGGGGCCGGCGTGCCGGGGCGGGGCCGGCGTGCCGGGGCGGGGCCGGCGTGCCGGGGCGGGGCCGGCGTGCCGGGGCGGGGCCGGCGTGCCGGGGCGGGGCCGGCGTGCCGGGGCGGGGCCGGCGTGCCGGGGGCGGAGTCGGGCGCCTGGCTGCACGTGACTCGCGAGCGCGGGTGCACAGTGTAACGTCATGGTGCTGTGGTGTCGGCGGGCTCTGGCCTCACTGTGGCAGTGGGGTCCGGGAGGTGAGCGGGCCGGGCTGGGGGAGGCGCGGGATACCGCAGTCCGGCTGTCGGCCGTGTTTACGCGGCGGGCAGTGCCCGTCTGCTCGCGGCTGGAAGCAGTCGTGACAGCGAGAACTTGGCAGGTGGTTCCGTAGCCAGACACCGATGCCTGTCTCTTAACGATATGTCTCCGAGCGATTTCCAGTGCAGTGCGGACTTTTCCTGTGGAAGTCCGTTGTATGGATGTTTCACAATTTATTTCACCATTCTCTTGTTGAAACAGTTTTAAATCTTTATTACAAAGAGCTTTGTGGTGAATAACCTTGTTTGCTCCTCAGTTTTTAGATAAATTGTAATGGTATGTACGTTTAACATTTAATTGCCCCTCATAAAGGTTGTGCGGTTAAAACTGTCACCGGCAAATATTCCCACCCTTCGGCACAGTAATTGCACTCTGTAATTTGTTTTTTTTTTTTTATCCCTGGGTGACCTGCCACTGATCCTGTGCAGCTGCACAGAGGGGAGGGTGTCAGCACCAAAACAGGAGCAGGGACACTGCTGCCTTTCAGATGAGGGCCCGTGATTACTCCCTGGAGTCCAGCAAGTGGCATTTGATCTTGACCTTGACTTAGGGAGGTGGGGGAATTCTGAGGTGGAGACAGGGCTCTTCAGGCAGAGCATGCTGGGTGGGAAGGGGTTACTTGGGAGACTAGGGTTTAGGGAATACACAGAACAGGGAGGCCTTTTGTTTGGCTGTAACAAGGGGTACACAAGAGGGAGTAACTGGAGTTAAAACTGCCCCTGGGATGGGATATGCTGTACTATTAGGATCCAAATAGCAGAGAGCTTTGGGGCAAACCATGGCAGCAGGATGTAATGAAGACAGGAGCAAAAGAAAAAGACAAAACAAACACTGTTAGGATCATTTTCTTAGAAGACAGGTCCTGAATTGTCCTGATAAATCTCAAGATATGCTTTTAGCATCTTTATTTCCGGCATGTTTTACAAGGGAAAGAAGTTCTCCTAGTTGCCTGCTTTATGTCTGTATTAGCTTTAGGTTCATCATTTATTTGGGGAGGGTTGTCAGCTTAATGTTTAACTTGTCCAATATTTTTTTTCATCAGAGAGGAGGGATCTCCATAGTGTAGACAGAAAGCTAGGGTCATCTGATGGAAGAGTGAACTAGTTGGCAGTCCGTAGGGTATGAGAAAGGCATCCACCCATGGCCTGGGGCCCAGTGGTCCTGAACTCAGGGCAGGCTGCCAGAGTGATGGAGATATGTGCAACTCCATTAGATACCAAGAGAGGCTTAAGTCAAGGCTGTAGACACAGGAGACCTTCCAGGGCTGCGTGAAACTGCAGTGCCTGTGCTCCTCTGCTGCAGACCTCAGTGGGGGATTTTCAGTGGCCACTGCAGATTCTATTGTTTCTATTGCTTTTGTTTTCTTCCTATCACTCTCCCAGGTGTTGTTTACAAAGTCCTAAAAGCCTCTTTGAAACTCATGACTTATTTACTGTGTGTAGTGTGCTCTTTTCCTATGAAAGATGATTTTAGAGTAAATTCAGAGACTCCTCGCTGCAGTAGGTAAACCAAGAACTCTGTAGCTATGCCAGGAGAACCCTGAGCTGCAGGGTACCCCCTACCTTTCCTCACTGTGTAACCTTGGCTGCTGAGTCGTGGAAGCTGTCCCTGCTCATCCCTGCTCATTGGTAGATGTTGAAGATGAACTGCCTGCAGCAGTCTGAACCCCTAGCTGTCAGGGTTTGTGTGTTTCTGGAATGGTCTCTAGAGCTTAGTTTTTATCCTAATAATGCATGATATAAAGTCTGAGAGTTTTAATTTTCTTTAAACGTCACTGTATATCCATCACAACTCATGTATGGTAGGGTATGCAGCTCTGCTGAGAATGTGACCTGAGTACAACAAAGGGATGCTCTTGGCCTGACTTCAGCTTTGGTATGGAACCCTGGTCTGAAGACTGGCCTTTGATGAGGGACTATGAAGGGATGCTTTCATAGTACCCATTAACCAGAATTTTTTTGCCCCCAAGTAGGTCTTGATTTCTGGCTTTCTATTTAGCCAGTAGTCATTCATGGTGAGAAAAGTGGTTATTTAGGGGGGACGGAACAGAAGGGCATGGCCACTGTAGATTGTGGGAAGAGTAGAACCCTGCACATTCTTATTAGCTGGAGACTGATTGTCGTCTGCTGCCTTTCTGCTGTGCTCTTGCTGTCAGTGCTGCAGGTGTGAGAAGGCCCATCTCTCTTTCTGTGGGTGCTTCAGGCCTGTTTGGGAGTGGAGGCAGTCATGAAAAGGAGAAGCTTTCCCTGCAGGACATTGCTGAGCTGATCCGGTCCAGAGCCTGCCAGAAGGTGTTGGTTATGGTAGGGGCTGGAATCAGTACACCCAGCGGCATTCCAGACTTCAGGTATGCTCATTCCTGGTTGATGCCACTTCCCTGTGGTCTTCCTAAGGGTCCGAGCTTCTTCCTTCTGTCTCCACAGATCTCCCGGGAGTGGCCTCTACAACAACCTACAGCAGTACCACATCCCATACCCTGAGGCCATTTTTGAACTTGAATTTTTCTTTCATAACCCCAAGCCCTTTTTCAAATTGGCCAAGGAGTTGTACCCTGGGAACTATAAGCCCAATGTTGCTCACTACTTCCTCCGACTGCTGTATGACAAGGGACTGCTCCTGAGGCTCTACACACAGAACATTGATGGGCTTGAGAGAGGTGAGCTCTCTGTCCCCCTTCTATGTTCTGTGCCTGTTTCTAGGTAGGACTGGGGCCCAGTGCTTACACTTCATCCTTGTGGCTGTTTTAAGCCAACTGGTTATGCCTTTGCATCTCTGGGTGTTCGAGGCCACTGTTGGGACCTCCTTGTGGGTCCCTCTCCCACATATCTGCTGGGCTGAACTAAAGTTCACATTGTTTTGCTAATCTTATGTTGAGCTCTTTTTTTTTCTTTTAAAGAAATGTGTTAAGCACACAATAGTAAAAAATTACAAGGAACCCTCATGTCCTCTCCCTCAGTCTCCATCACCAACACAGTCCTTGTTTGTTTGTGCTCTCCCCATCTCTCCTGTACACCTAGATTATTTTCAGGCAGATTCCTCACATTTTGAATTTAATATAGAAACAGTCTCTAAGTTGATGAGTATGTCTGGAAGATAAAGACTTTTTAAAACACAGTTCTGATACTGTTATTACACTAGAGACTTACCAACTATTCAGTATTGTTCAAATTATTCTGTTATAATTTCTTGGCCACATCTCATGGTAGTCACAGAAGAGATCCACAGGTTGGCCTTACATCCTAGGGAAGCATTGCTGGGTCATCAGAGGTGCTGCGACTCCAGGAGCATGTTTCCTACGAAAGAGAACCATAGGTGACAGTGAATGTGCTGTGGAGGCTGTCTTTCCTCCTGAGGGACAGGGCAGGCCTTGGGGAAGGTGGAGTTGTCTGGCTGTGTGTTTCAGCACTCCAGTTAGGACAGTGGCAGGGGTATGGGAAATCACCTGCCCCCCACCCTTTCAGAAGTATATAGAAGTAATAAACTATGAGAAGTTCCAGCCCCTCCCCTCCCATCCTTTTTTTTTTGGAGACAGGGTCTCATTATGTAACCCATGCTGGTCTGGAACTTGCTTTTTCTTTCTTCTTCTTCTTCTTTTTTTTTTGGTGGTACTGGGTTTGAACTTGGCCCTTAAGTTATACCTCTGGCCCTGTGGCCTGGAACTCATGATCTTCCTGCCTCAGCCTCCCAAGTGCTGGGATTGCAGGTATATACTACCATGCCTGGCTGAGAAGTCACTTTTTGCCTATTATTACCTAATCAATTTTTCTGAAATGTAGGCCTGCTAAGCCTACAAGTTAGGCTTTTAGACTCGCATGGAGGCTGCAATGCTGAGCTTTGGTTTGAATTTCAGTGTCTGGCATCCATCCCTCAAAGCTGGTTGAAGCTCATGGAACCTTTGCCTCAGCCACCTGCACAGTCTGTCGAAGGTCCTTTCCAGGGGAGGACTGTTGGGTGAGTTTTCCCACTGAAGGGTCTCTGTCTTCTGTAGTTGTTGGTGGGAGGTAATTTGTAAAGGTGGTATTTTAAAAGTGTTGTGTTGGAAGGACAAGAGTGCAATAATAGTGTGAAAATATTTTCCCCTAGTTTTGATTTAGAAAAGTAAACACATGCTTGTAAAAAACTAAGGCGGGGCTGGACTGTAGCTCAATTATAGAGCACTTTCCAGATGTACACAAGACCTGGAGTTCAATCCCCAGCACCAAAGGGAAAAACAAAACCAAGAAAAAATGGAAATAAAAACAAAAATTAAGGCAGTACAGTACAGAAATATGCAGGGAGAATGAATTTCCCTTTAACCAGTCCTTCCTGCCTCCCTTTAACAATTTGGTGTATAATGTTCCAGGCCTTTAAAGGAAAAGATGTAAACATACACGCACATGTCTGTATACACACAGCTGCACACACTGTGACTGCTTTATCCTATGCAGCATTTCATGGGCATCTTGTATTGATACCTCCAGTCCTGCTCACTCATTTTATTAGCTATAGAGTATTACATTTAGCCATTCACCTATTACAAACCTACTGATGTTTGTAATTTTACTTTTTTTTTCTTGGCAATGCTGGGGATTCAACTCGGGGCCTCACACTTGCTAGGCAGGTGGTAGACACTTGAGCCATGTCACTAGTACTTTTTGCTTTTAGTTTGTTTTTCAGATAGGGATTGCTATCCTCATACCTCTGCCTCCTTAGTAGCTGGGGTTACAGGCATGCATCACCATACCTGATCAATGATGTTTGTAATTTTCACTATTCAAGTAATGCAGCAATGACACCTGTGATTTAGGATGGGTTTCTTAAAGCAGAATGGAATAGAGTGGAAAACTCTTAAGAAATAAAGATAAACTCTGAAATGTTAACATGTCATAGGACCTTGTTTTTTACTTGTTTATTTTTTTTATTGAGGTGAAATTCACATAACAGTTCTTTGGACTTAGTGCATTCATAGTATGTGTCATCAGTCACCTCTGTCAAGTTCCAAAATACCCTCAAAAGGAACCTTGTAATTATTAGGAAGACATCCCCTTTCCTATATCCCTAGCTCGTGGCTTTGTCTCTATAGATTTATCTATTCTGGGCATTTCATAAGTGGACTCAGTGTCTGGCCTCTTTCACTTCTTTCATAGCATTTGAGTGGTTCATTTACATTGTGGCTTGCATCAGTACTTCACTCCCTTTGATTTCTAAGTAGTATTCCATTGCTGTGTACTCTATAGGTTGTCCGTCCACTGATATGTGGCATGTCTTTCTTGACCAGCACTGTGACTGGTGTGCAAAAGTTGGACTGCGTCATGAGGGAGGAGTTGTATGTGGTCTTAGAGCGCACAGGCAGTGAACCTATGCATACACCATCCCAGAGGTGGGTGTGCTTGTTCTGGAAGCTTCAGTTTGGCACAGTTCACAAGGTCAGCATGTACCATGGACATGAGCAGACAACTTGGTTGATAGTCCAGCTGCAGACATGCCTGACACCTGGCTTTACAAGGTCTCGCCCTCCTGTTAGCAGCCTGCAAGCAGTGTTACACAATTTTGAGTCTCTTCCATGACAAACTTCATTCTTTTCCATGTAGAAATAGTTTTTCCAGCACCATTTATTGATAAAACTGTCTTTTCCCTCACTGAATAGTTTGGCACCCTTAAAAAAAAAGCCACTGACAATGTATGTGAGGACTTATTTCTAGGTTCTCTGTTCTGTTTCATTGGTCTGTATGTCTGTCTTATGCCAGTGCTATTGCTGTTCTGGTTACTATAACTTGCACCCAGTTTTGAAATCAGGAAGTGTGAATTTAATATGATGGTTATGTCAGCTTTCTGTAGCTGTAACAAATGCCATGATAATCAACTTACAAGGGGAAAAGTTTTATCTTGCTCATAATTTCGAAGGTTCCAGTCCATGATCTATTGGCCCTGTTGCTTTGTGCCTGTGGTGAGGCATCATAGCATTATGGGAGCATGTGGAGGAGAAGAACGTTCACCTCATGAGGCTGGGGTCCCAACACCCACTGTTCCCTTTGAGAGCTCACACCCCCCATGACCTAAGACCTCCCACTAGGCCCCCCCTTAAAGGTTCTACCTCCCAACAGTACCACAGGCTGGGGACCACACTGTCAGCACACAGCCTTTGGTTGACACTTGTCTTTATTTTATTTTTTAAATAGGCTTTGACACCCATTTGAGGAGTTTTAGGTTCAGAGTAAAATTGAATAGGAAGTACAGACATTCTAGTGTACCCTTGTCCCCACAGATTTACAGCCTCTCCTGCCATCAAACCACCCACAGAGTAGGTCGTGTTACAATTGCTGAACCTGCATTGACTCATCATCATCAGTCACTGCACAGTTTACATTAGGGCTCACTCTTGCTGGGGTGCCATCTGGGGGTTTGGACAAATGTGTAATGGCATATATCCACCACTGCAGTACCACGCAGATGGAGTTTCACTATCCTAAAATTCCTCTTTGCTCTACCTATTCATGCCTCTCCTACCCCAGCCCCTGGCAAGCACAACTCTTTTTCTGCCTTCAGGGTTTTGTAGAGTTGGAATCATCAGCATGCAGCCTTTGCAGGTGCCTCTTTCACTTGCAATGTGTATTTAAGTTTCCTCTATGTCTTTTCCTGGCCCAATCGCTCATTTCCTTTTAGTGCTGAATAGTATTCCATTGTGTAGATGTGTCACAGTTTATTTATACATTTACCTGCTGAAGGGCATCTTGGTTGCTTCCAGATTTTGGCAATTATGAATAAACTGCTATGAACTTCCACGTACAGGTTTTTGTATGGACATAAGTTTTCAGGTTCTTTGGGTAAATACCAAGAAATATAATTGTTGGATCATTTAGTAGCAGTATGCTTAATTTTGTAAGAGATCACCAAACTGTCTTCCAAGATGGTTGCACCATTCTGAATTTTCACAGCACTGAGAGTTCTGTTGCTCCCTGTCCTGCCCAGCATATTTTTTGTCGGTTCTAGGTTTTGGCCATTCTCATAGATGGGTAGTAGTGTTTCCTTGCTCTAATTTACAGTGCCCTGTTGACCTGGGATGTTGAGCATATTTTCATGTGCTTACCTGTCATCTTCGTATCTTTTTGGGGGAGGTATCTGTTCTTGTATTTTGCCAGTTTTTAAATTGTTTTATTTTTGTTGAGTTTTAAGAGTTTTTTGTATATGTTAGTTATTATTTCCTTATCAGAATGTCTTTAATAAACATTTTTATCAGTCTGTGGCTTTTCATTTCATTCTCTTGACAGTGTCTTTCATAGAGCAAAAGCTTTTAATAAATTGTAGCATCAATTATTTTTTCATGGATTTTGGAGTATCTAAAAAGTCATAGCCACACCATTGTCATCTGAGCCATAGCCATAGTCATGTAGGCTTTCTTCTGTGTTAACTTGTAGAAATCCAATTGTGTTACCCTTTACATTTAGGTCTTTGATTCATTTTGAGTTAATTTTTATGAAGCTTTTTTTGCATGTGAATGTCCATTTGTTTCAGTGCTATTTGTTAAAAAAACCATACTTTCTCATTGAGTTGTCTCTGTTCCTTTGTCAGAGATCAGTTGATGATGTGTTAGTTTTGAGCTTTCTGTTCAGTTCCCTTAATCTCTTTATTCTTTTTTTTTTTTTTTTTGACAGTACTGGGGTTTGAACTCAAGGCTTTCCTTGCACTCGCTAGGCAGGCGCTCTACCACTTGAGCCACACCTCTAGTCTGACCTCTTTATTCTTTCACCAATACAGCCATCTTGATTTTGGTAGCTTTATATAGTGAGTCTTGATGTTGGAAGGTCAGTTGTGTGTGTTCTCCTTCCACATCATTATTGACCATTCCAAGTCTTCTGCCTTTGCATATATGCTTTAGAATCTGTTCATTAGTAATGTTTTCTGCATGTTTTTCACTTTTCTCATTGTCTTCAGAGTTTTGCAGTTTCACTGTGCTGTGCTTCCATATGGATTCATGCCTTTCTTACTAGACCAAATGCCTATAGAGCACCATACGAAGACTGTGGTCTGCCCCAGATGCAGAGCAGGGTTAGACATGCAAACTGTGGAGAAATTTGTGGGTGAAACCATGTGATGTCTAGGATTTGCTTTTGGAGAGTTACATGACATGATTGGCAAAATGTTGGTAACTACTGAAGCTGGGTGTGGAGCTCATTACACGACCCTACTCTTGTGCATGTTGAAACTTCCTTGAGAGGCTGTTGCCTTTCCCTTTAAACGCATCTTCCGTGTACCACCCTCTGCCTCCCTAGGCTGATGTGATGGCGGACAGGGTGCCTTGCTGCCCTGTCTGCAATGGTGTGGTGAAGCCTGACATCGTGTTCTTCGGGGAGCCATTGCCCCAGAGGTTCTTCCTGCACATGGCTGATTTCCCCCTGGCAGATTTGCTGCTTGTCCTTGGGACCTCCCTGGAGGTTTGTTGAGAGGTTCATTGAATAAATGAGGTGGGTTGGGGTGGGGAGTAGGTATACTGCCTGGGGGTTGATGGGTGGTACCATCTTTGGATCCAGGGTGCTTCAGGTGTCAGCAACTGTGCTGAAGGTGGGTAGGCAGAAGGTGTGTGGGAAGGGAAGAAGGAAGGAGGGGGCAGGCAGTATGGCAGATCTCCAATTCATGTCAGGAAGCCCAGTGTCCAGGTGGAGCAACGCCAAACCTCAGAGGCTGACCCAAGCTGACCATTTGGGGCTACCAAAGGGTGGACCTATCACCTGGGGAGGAAGAAAGAGACATATGACCTCTGAGGGACAGGGGTATGCTGGGGTTATGCTAAAGGTCAGGGGGAAATCTGGAGAGAAGATGTTGAGTTGAGGTCTGTACATGGGTGTGAGCTGCATAGGAGATGCCTGCTGGACATGTCAAGAAGCTGATCCACATCTGGGTTTGATTGCTAGGAAATTATTAAGAGGTGTGATGAGAGCTGGAGGTGAGACCATAACAGAAGCAGGGCCTGAGTGGGTGGATGTAGGCACCAGGGTGGAGGACCAGAAAACCCAGTGCTAAGGCCCAGCCTGTGTAGAGGCCCAGCACTATTGCTGTATGCTCTGAGTCAGGTCTACTGTGGTGTTTGGACAGACACAGTGAGACACAAGCTCTGACCTTACAGGTTGTTAAGGGAACACGTAGCTATAGGGAAAGTAGAGCAGACATCATGGTAGGGCAGGGTAGGGCAGAGGGCTGCATTGTGAATATGGGTGCTTTATGGGAGCTTCGTCAGGAAGGGACTCTGAAGGGAGGGGTCGATGTGCCTCATCAGGAGAAGACAGTGAAGAAGATGTGTGTATCTGTCAGCTGTCAGCAGCAAAGGAGGTAAGGGTTTCAGCTGAGGGGAGGTCTAGTGGGTGTGTTGCACATTGTCCTGCAGTGAGGGCATGGTCAAGGAGGCAGGGACAGGCCTTTGGGAAGGCCGATGCTCTGACTTCCATTGAGAGGGCTCTGGTGGCACTGTGCTGTGAGATGGGGCCTGGGATGGGGCCCTTACAGGTATTTGGCACATGTGGGTCCCAGGTAAACCAGCAGGGGCTGAGGCCTGTCAGAGTCTGGATGTGAAGGCAGAGGGCAGCAGGAGGTAGGTGTGTGTGAAGGTGTGTACTCCTATAGCACTGCATGATTCGGCTTATTTCCTGGGCACTGGGAGCTCAGCCTCTGTCACAGGGATTTGAGGCAGCAGGAGGCAGATGTGAGAGGTGGAATCCAGCAGAGACCTGAGGTCAGAGATAGGGTGTAGGCCTGGGGTGGAGGACAGACTCCAAAAGGGCGGTCAGAGGGAGTACAGACCTGGCTTTGTGGGCCTGATAGTGTGTGGGCTAAGCCCTGTCAATGATGCTGGCCACCAGCCATTTTTTTAAAAATCTTTTTTGTGGTACTGGGGTTTGAACTTGGCTTTGCACTTGCTAGGCAGGTGCTCTACTGCTTGAGCTATGCTTCTAGTCCTTCTTACTCTGGTTGTTTTAGAAGTAAGTCTCACTTTTTGCCCAGGCCAGCCTAGACTATAATCCTGTTTTAGGTTTCCGGTGTCTGGGATGACAAGAGCATGCTATCAGGCCCAGCTTTTTTCTATTGAGATAGGGGGTCTCTCAGACATTTTTGCCCAGGCTGGCCTGGAACCATGATCCTCCTGCCCTCAGCTTCCTGTGTAATTTGGGATGACATATATGTACCACTGTGCAGCTATTGGTTGTGCTGGGTATGTGATAATTTTTTGCCCAAGCTGGCCTGGAACCACAGTCCTCTTGATCTCAGCCTTTCAAATAGGATAGAGATGAGCCACTGATGCCTTGCTCCCATGTTTGTTTTTTAAGTAAAATGAAAATAGCATTTTTTATATTTTTTTGCAGGGCAGGGTCTGGGTGTGTAGCCCAGACTGGCCTGAAATTCATTATGTAGCCTGTGTGACCTTGAACTCTAAATCCTCCTACTGCCTCAGCCTCCCATGTACTAGGATTATAGGCATGCATCACCACACCTGGCTCATATGCTTCTTTAAAAAGATTCATTCGTACATTAACGGCTGGAGACATAGCTCAAGTAGTGGAGCACTTGTCTAGCAAACACCAGGCTCTGGGTTCAATCCCCAGTACTGAAAAAACCAAAAACAACAACCCCCCCCCACCCCCCCGCCCCACAGTCATTTATGTATTATATAACAGAATAAAGCCTTTAATTCTATCCATAACTTTAGCATTTTGGTCTGTGTCTTCTCAGGCTTCTTTTCTGTACAAATATATATGGATAGATGGTGATGCTCAACCCAGTGTGACAGCATTGTGCCCTCTATTCTGCAACTAACTTCCCATCAGCAATGTTGCCTTATTAGTGCTGGGCTGGCAGCTCCCTTACAGATGGTTGTGGGGCTGTGCCTTCAAGTTGGGACCAGTGTGAGCTGAATACACTGGTGTGCACAGGCTCTGTCCTGGGTATTGTGGAAAAAAATAGGGTGTGTTGGATTATGGAGTACTTCCATCTCCAGTAGGTGTCCCATAATGTAGGGTATATAAACCATGTTTTTTTTTCTAAAATTAGACCTAGTCAGAATTCTGAAACACATCTAGCCACAGAGTTGTAAGATAAGTGATTATCCGTAACAGATTTACTTAAGCAATTTCTTACTAATGGATAATAAAATAGATTTTGGTTTTTTTCAGTACTGGGATTGAACCCAAGGCCCCATACTTGCTAGGCAAGCCCTCTACCACTTGTGCCATGTCTTAGACCCAATAGTATATAATTTTTATGGTAAAACTAATGCCCGTGTATTTTTAGGACACAAGTGCTTCTGAAGAACGTTGATAAATATGTAATTTCCAGAAGGGTTTACCAATTGCCCTGCCATAAGCAGTATATGAGAGGCCGTTTGCTCATCTCACCAATACCAAAATTAGCTATTTCATTTTTTTTTTCAACCTGAATGGCTAAAAATAGTGTGGTTTGGGAGTGTGGCTTAGTGTAGTGACCTAGATTTTCTTCAAGAACTATTTTTTTGTTTTTATTTTTGTTTGGTTTTTGAGACAGGGTTTTACTATGTATGTAGCTCAGGCTGGTCTTGAACCCACAATCCTGCCTCTGCTTCCCGATGCTGGGATTACAGAGTAGATGTGTTTACATGTCCCAGCAAGAACTATTTTGATAACATTTAAATCTGTAATCCATTTGAAAATTTTTCAATGAAAGGCAAGAATTGAGCATTTACTCTCTGATCTAAGCCAGTCTTTATAACCCCATCTATTAATCAACCCATTTCTTATTATCTTGAAAGAAAATATCACTTGAGAGCTGTTGCAGAAACTGGCAGCATAGGTCTCTCTGGCTTGTGGTGGTTGATGAAGGAAAAGGGACAGTGGTCAGCTTGAGGGCAGGCGCCCTGGTTCCTCTGAGAAGACAAATGTAGGAAGGACCTACAGTAGACTCAGACTGTGTGGTGGGAGAGCAGGTGGAAAGAAGATGCTCACAGGCAGAGCTTGCAAATCGGCAGGAAGGGTAGAAACAGGGAGAAGCCAGTGAATGTGGAAACAGCAAGAGGAAAAGGAGAGGAAGGCCCAGGAGGGGACGAGGTCATCTAGACAAGTGGGAGGAGGCCACTGGAAAAATGATCCAGGGTGGAGTCCTGTGTCCTGGGTCTGACCACGTCTCCTGACCTGAAGGCCTCAGTGGCAGTGGTGTAGTCCTGATGGGCTTGGGGTGGACACTGCTCACGTTTGTTGTTTTTCAGGTGGAGCCTTTTGCTAGCTTGTCTGAGGCTGTGCGGAGCACCGTGCCCCGACTACTCATCAACCGGGACTTGGTGGGGCCCTTTGCTTGGCATCCTCGAAGCAGGGACGTGGCACAGCTGGGGGACTTGGTTCGCAGTGTAGAAACGCTAGTGGGCCTTCTGGGCTGGACAGAAGAGTTGCAGGCCCTGGTCCAGCGGGAAACGGGAAAGGTACAGACCACTGAACTCTGGTGTTTGGCCCATCAGACTGAAGCTTGAGGGAGCCTTTTCCTGGCCTGACTCGAGTTTCTGTACAAAAGGAGATTAGTAGCTTTATGGAGTCTTGGAAGTGGCCCTCCAGAACTTGATCTGTGCCATTTCCTGCCTTCGCAAGAGTTTGTGATTTCACAGACTTTTTTTTTTTTTTTTTAAAGCTGTCATCCAAGGGTTACTTCTCCAAAAATAGTATTTTTGAACATGTGAGCATTAGTACATTGGCTGAGTACTCAAACCCCTTGGAACGAGGGTTTGTTTAGCCACCCTGCTCTACTAGGCCTGCTGGGATCTCTTGACTTGCTTCTTTGGAAAGACAAAAGCTTGTTCCTGAAATATGTTGTCTTCAGCTGTGTGACCCAGGCCTGAGATGCTGGCCTGAGTGCACAGCTAACTGATCCCTTCTCTCCTCTGTTTCAGCTGGACGGTCAGGACAGATAAGGCAGTGGCTGCCCACATTCGAGAAATGGCCACACAGGAGAGCCACATCCTAATTTTCTAGTGAGACGATGTGTTTGAGGACAGCTTGGGTAGGTTTACAAATCTCAGCCAAACCAGGACGTGTGACCTGAGGAATGGATGTCTGAGGCTGCCACTGGAACATCTGACGAGGAAGGGCATGTTCATACTCAGGGACACCCAATCAAGGATGCAAAGGAGCCACCTGTTGTTTCCATCTAACTCTTCACTCTGCTGAAGCTCACAGTGCAAAATACTTTCTTCTGATGGTGACCCTCTTAGACTGAAAGAGATTCACTGGATCCCAGTCTGGGTCTGCTTTACTGTGCCCAGGCTGTCTGGAGGGCAGCTCAGCATGTCTGTTATAAGATCCAGGCCTGGGCTTTGGTGATATGGTGGGATTGTCTAGCATGTAGGGTCTCTGATGTAGGGTCATTTTAAAGTCTCATTTCTTACATGAAATAAATTTCAGTGTAATAATGAGCAGCCTTTCATCTCTTCACGACAGCAAGTGTTGACATGATAGTATTTGGGTGTCCCCTGCCCCCAACAGTCAGGACTGAGCCCAGCTGTCCCTAGGTTCACTGTGAAGGTGGCCCAGGCCCCTCTTCTAACCGGCCTCTTAGAGAACAGACATCTCCCATAATCTCATCTGCCCATCACCCTCTCCTCCCACACTTTCCCGGACCAGGGCTCCTTCCAGTAATAGTGCTACAACTAAACTCCAAAACAAGGAGGGCACCATTCAACTTCAAAATCTTGTTAGCTCTGGGTTACCTGTCAGACCCCCCACCCCTACCTGTGCTTGTGCAGAGCCCAGGCTGGGCTTCCTAATGTGTACACTTGGGGCAGCCCAGGTGCAGCTTTGGTAACTAAGCCCTCTGGGTGTTAGCACTCCATCCTTGGCTCCTACCCACACGTGCACACTCCTTTCTGGCACTGGCACCGTGAGAGCTATTTCCCAGGCACTGGCACTTCCTGTTTCTGAGCTGCACCTGCCCTGGACTAGGACTGATGGGGTCAGATTTAACTGACAGAACCCATGGAAGGAGGTCCTGTGACCTTGCTCCTCAGTGCTAACAAAAGACATGGCAATCTAGGGAAAGTGTTGGATCCTGAAAAGAACAAAATTAGTTTCTATTTCTACTTAATGTCCCCTTACTTGAGTATTCTACACAGTTATTCACACACACAGTCCTGTCCCAAACTACTCTTTATTCTGGAATATTTCTGTGGCTGTCAGAAGTTCCGAGATTTCAATTTATGCTTTCACGAGGGCATTTTCCTTTGTGTGAGTGTTTATAGGCTAAGCTAGTGGGTAGGTTTGATCCAGTCATCACAACCAGTGGAGACGGCAGTGGGTGGCTGAGCCCAGGAGAAGGAAAACTTACATATTAAGAGGCCACCAGCCCTGTGCTGGGGAACAGAAGGGGGGTGAGGGGAAATGGGGGAAGGGAGAGATAGAAACAGTGCATGCTTTGGTGCTCATTGTGTTTCTGAAGTTACACTTCCAGTGGATTCCTTCCCCTGTGAAATGCAGCAAATGCCTCACACACCGCAGGCCAACCCCAGAGGCACTGTGTGCTCTGCTCAGCCCCACCTTCCCCCCGACTCCCTAACCCTATCCCAGGTAGCCCTGCCCTCCCAGTGGCCTTTGCACTCTTGGCACACAGCACAGAAACGACTTCGTGTGTGTAAGTTAAGGCTGAGTTTCCTGATAATAGCAGGACAACACCACCACAGTCCTAAAGGTAAGAAATTGGACCAAAATCAGAAAACTTGGGGAGCAGAGAGTAAGGGTTCCCAGCTAAAGGGGTGTGTGGGTATCCCTAGACCGCACCACGGTTGTCTCCGGGAGCAGCACCAGTTCTGGAAGGAGCAAAGTACTACCCTCAGTCGGGATCTGAGTCGGGGTCTGAGGAGAGCTGCCCCTCCATGGTCTCACACATTGCATCCTGCAGAGATGTGAGGTGACCCCGGGGGCTCATGCCCATGGGCTGGATGACTCTGTGCCTGTGGAGAAAGTGCGGCGGGACCTGACAAGACAGCTTGGCTGCTGGGCAGCAGGTTCCTCTCATCCCTGGCCGCTATTGGGGAAGCCTGGGGGGAGGGGTACCTTGTGTTAATCTGGCCCAAATCCTAACTGCTGCCTAATGGTCCTGAAATGTTAGGCAGCCCCTTACATTTTTAGCCTCAGTTTTCACTGTCTATAAAAAAGACACAAAACTGACCTTGCTCTAACTTCTTCTGGGGGATTTCCTCTAGGGTAAGTGATTCAAATATCAGTAATGCAGCCTCACGGGATCCCAAGTGCTCCCCTCTCCCAGGGCTCCCAAGACAGGCTGTGGTCCATTCCCCCTTCTCCCAACCATAGGTCCTTCTTACACACCTGGAGAGCTTGTCAAACATGTTCACCAGCTTCATGGCCTCATGCTCCTTCTGCTCCTCTGTCATGCCCTCCATAGGGTTGGGTGGTTTCTCCTCCACCCTCCCAGTCACTGGGTTGATGCTGCTTCCCGGGAGGAGGAGCATGGGGAATACATTAGTGGCTCTTCAGGAGAAGTGGGACTATGTGAGGCAGTTGGAGTCCCCATCTTTCTGCTTAGGCCTAGCCTGGCAAGAAACTGACCTTCCTTGTGGTAGTGGTGGTCGGGGGAGGCAACTGCAGAAAAGATCTCCCTCCAGGAACAGCAGCCCCTGCCCCGGGCACCTCCTGGTTTCCCACAAACCCACTCACTGAGCCTCAGCATGCTCAGAATGACATACCTTGTCACAGGACACACACATCAACTGACTGATTCTGAAAGGTTTCACCCATTCCCATCCCCCTCCCACCCATTACAGGGGTCTGGATAAGGTGGAAAGTAGGGACTGGGCGGGATGTGATGAGGGAACTCCTGAAGAGTGTGTTGGAGCACACACCTGGCCTTGGCTTCCTTGTACTCCTCTGTGTCCGTATCCTCATCCTCTGAGTACTGGCCCTCAGGCCGGCCCCCTGCCATGAGGCCCCTGGCAGCCAGGAGGCCAGCAGCATTCCCGTAGCCTGTGTACTTGATGAAGCGGGGTACTGAGGGCCAAGATAGAGGTTAGTGCACAAAATGCAGTTGGAGTGGGACAGACCTGGGAATTGGGCTCCGCTTACTCACCACTCTCAGAGCACAGGACAAAGAGGAACTCAGCAGCTACCCTCTTCACATCCGTGTCTAGGTGTGTCATGAGGCGAACGAGCTTGTTCCGGAGCAGGTCCCCCACCTCAGGCCGAGTCCTCACATCCCGCAGAGGAGGCAGCACCTGGGGAGGTAGCTGTCCCTAAGTCTAGGTTTATAATACCCAGGAGTCTGTGACTGGGGCCCAACCCATGCTCCCCTGGAACTCTCGCTCCTTGCCAGGTACCTGGGCCTTCAGGAACTTCCTAGCTGGACGGTGTATGCGGGCACACTCCGTTAGCACACTCAGCACGGGAGCCACACTCTCCTTCAGCCTGTGGGTCTGCAGAGGGGCCTGTCACTGGGGCTGGGCACCTGACGCGGGGCAGGGTGGGGGCCGCACACGTGCAACAGCAGGTCTTGGCAGAGGCTTTCGAAGAGGCCGTGCTGCAGTGAGTCAGCCGAGGGCCAGAGTCGGAGGTGGGTGTCTGTCAGCTTCAAAAGGGATGGGAACAGGACCTAACTCCAGAAGCCACTTGAAAGCTTTGTGACTTGGGGCAAATAACTCAACTGCTTTCAGTCTAACTTCTTCAACTATAAACAAGGGATGTGAGCAAAACAAAAAGGTTTTGAAGCTATAAGCACACCACAGCTACACACACTGCCCTCAGGAAATGGTTAGAGAAACAAGACTCCCTACGCTGGTGCCTTGTGGACAGCAAGCAGTGTTCCTATCCATGCCTGGCTTCACTTCCTCCCTGAAGCTCGACACCAGCACCCGCAACAATAAGAAAAGTGGCCACACCCAGGGTGCTCAGCCAGCTCTCCCCTCCCACAGCTCACATGTACTAAGAGTACCTCTGCACCACAGAGGATCATAAGCAGGAACTGGGGGCTTCTGAGGTCCACTCAGGAGGGACCCACAAAAAGACCTAAAAGATAAACTCCTCTCTAGACCCCAAGAAACTTTTTTTTTTTTAAATAAAGCAGCAGTAGGCCTCACGCATGCAGGTGTCCACATGCTTCTGAAGAAGGCAGGGTCTGGTGTGGCCACCACTTGGTTGGTCCACAGAGAAGAGTCACATGAAACACACCACCAAGATGACTTTCACATGCCATGTGGGTGGTGCAGAAGCAGTGACCACAGCTGTGCAGGGAAGCTGGAGTCAGAGCCCCTAGGGAAGTTCACACCACAGATCCGCTGCCTACCTGGTGCAGACGCTTCTCTAGGAAAGCAAGAAGCACACCGATCACATCCATGTTCACTCCCATGAACTCCAAGGAGCCCTCGTGCAGCTCCAGGGTGAGGAGAACGTCCAAACACTTAAGGGGCAAGTTCCCCAGAAGGTTCACCGCATGCCTAGGGAGAGATGAAAAAGGGCCTTGACAGGGTTGATGTCTCAGTACAGGTGCCATCCCTGGTTCTTCTACTAGGGCCACATGATGCAATCCAGTGTCTAGGAGTCTGAAGAACAGCACTAGGGACCAGAGCCAAGGTCAGGGCCTGGTCTCAAGGGTGTGGGGGGTTCTCAGAGGGGCAAGCACACTTCAAGACACTCCACCTATCCCAACCTGTTTGGGATCCAAATGATCTCTGGAAACCAAGACCAGCTCAGGCACCAGTCACCAAATATAAGGACAAGGAACCACATTGCACTGTAGTACCATGACAACCATCACATCTACCCAAAACCCTGCCCCTAAGTTCACAACTCTTATCCTCCACACCCTGGAAGCACCTGTGTTCTTTGGAAACACTAGTATCTGGTTCCTTCTGACAAAGTCATACTCTATGGTAGGGCCTGGGCTCCCAGGTGGTTCTGGTCCACAGGCAAGGTTGAGGACATCAACTAAATGTTCAAGCACATTCTTGTCCTCACCCATGGAATTCCTCTGTGCGGTCTCCAGCAGCAGCAACCATCAAACAATGCCGCAGAAGGGTTCCCAGGTACTGGTAAAGGGCAGCATCTTCCTGACCAAAGACAGAAAGGGGCTCCTGTGAGAGGGAGCCCCACTCATTCCTACTGCTGCACTCCAGGGCTACGTGGCAATGCCCACCACACTCTCCAACTGCACATCTGGTGACTTGGCCAATACTGGGCTACTGCTTTCCCAAAAAGTCCACAAGTGCACTTGTATCTGCCCTTTCCCCATTAGGATTTTAGTGGGACCATGCCTTGGTCCCACTCTCAGAGCCTTAGTGTGAAGAATGTCCTATTGCCTCCTGGTGCACTATTAAAGCATTTCTAAAGGGCCTCCATCTCCCTTAGAAACCTTTCTCAAGGTCTCTGCCTGGAATAGGCATCTCTAGGAACATCCTCCTGTTCTTGCTATGTCTGGCACCCAAGAACTTGAAGATACTATGAGAGGTAGAGCCACAAAATGTCCCAGCTGAATTGAGCCCCACCCATGATCTAAGACCATCTCACCTCCTCTACCTCCTTCTTGATGGAATCAAAGGTGATATTGAACAGCACTTTGAGGATCTCCATGGCCCGCTCAGTCTCTTGGGGAGGAAGAAACTCAGGCGGGTTCTCTTCCGGAGCCACTCCCAGCGTCAGCTCCAGCGTGTCGGTCAGCAGGCGCACACCATGCAGCTCCTGAAACAGCTGCTGACGCACATCGGTGCGCAGTGCTGTTAGCAGGAAGAGGAGCCGAAGATCAAAGAACTGGACATCGTGGGGAAAGCTCCTTTTTCGGTACAGCCCCACACGCTCTGCAAGCCTCACCACCAGGTGGGCCTCTGCTGCTAGCATCTGTGCCATGGGGCTGCTAAGCACAAGATTGCATAGGCACTTGAGCGACTCGAGTATGACATCCATGTCTGGGGACTCTGGGATGAGCCCCTCAGAGGCAGAGATGCCAGCACAGCAGGCTAGTGCATGTAGACTCTGGCGGCTTGCGAATGGGTCCAGGCAGTTGCGGTCTCGGGACAGGATCCGGACAGTCTGCAGCCAGATGACGCGATGTGAGGGTGGCAAGCCCTGCTCCAAGACGGAGACCAGTAACTTTGCGAGTCTCTGTGGGCAGGAACAAGAGTGGCTCCACCAGGTCTTCTTGCTGTGGCAGCCCTCCCTGCCCTGTTACCCCTTGGACCTGCACTCACCTTCCTGTCTTCCTGTTGGGCATCATCAAAGGTGAAGCTCTGGGAATGCTGCAACGAGACACACTGGGCTCAGGTGGGGCCTGTGCTCCTCGGCTGTTGGCAGCAGCCATGGCTCCCAAGAGATGGCAAGGTTCGCCCTCGCCGCTCGCACACCTGCCCCGTGGCAAAGGGAACATCCCATCCCAGACCCAATCACGTCCCGCCGCCGTGCTCCCCTCGCTCGCTTACAGTCTCCACCACACTCACCCGCAGACTCTCGGGCCCACCACGCGCGCAGGCCCACTCGGGCCCCACCGCGCACACACAACGCTGCCCTTCTACACACGCGTGACCCTCCGCCACGGTGCCGCTCACCTCTCGGTTATACGACCGTAGAGCTTCTGTAATTATGTCTTCCTCCCCTGTCTCCACAGCATCCGCAACCGCCCGGGGATCCATAGCCCCCGGCGCCGCGAAGCTGTAACAAGGAAAAAAAAATAACGACCGAGCCCTCTGGCTCCGCCCTGGCCCGGAAGCCCCGCGTCGGCGCGCGAGGGATGCCGGGAGCCCCGTGAGCGTGGGGCAGGGCCTAGGGTTGCGCAGCATCGCAGAGGATGCCGGGAGGAGAGTGCGCGGCACGCGGGGCGGGGCCTCGGGTTAGCGGCTTAAGGTGGTACCGGTGGCTGGGAGGCTTGGCAGTTGACTGATGTCGAGGTCAGCGTTGTCCAGGAGCTGAACAGCGGCCCTCTTCTGTGCTTCCGCCTCATGGGCGGGAATTTCCCACAGGAGAGGCTCTCGGCCCACAAGCACCAACGTGACGCACGGGACAGAGCACAGAGGGCTGCGGAGGCGGGGGCCGGGGGGACGCGAGGGTCACACTCAGGAAGACACTTTCCTGCCTGACCAGCAGGACTCAGTAGTTCAGGGCCGCTTGGTTGGTCAGGCAGGAAAGTGTCTTCCTGAGTGTGACCCTGCCTTCGTGGAGGGATGTCCCAGAGGGAAAGACGGGGAATAACAAGACGACTTTGAGGCACTCAAAGTATTGTATTATTGGTTTTTTTAATGCACCTGGTGGGCTGCAAAAGGGTCCAAGGAAGTGCCACTTTGTCGAGACCGACAACGGAAAGTGGGCAAGGAAACGATCTGGACGAAGCCACTCCAGGCAAAAGAGCACCAAGTCAACGGCGGGCCTAGAGAGGTGGGAGCGGGCGGGCAGGGCAGGGCAGGGCGAAGGCCAATCCTGTCATGTCTGTCGGGACAGTTACCTCGCAAAGCAGAGATGATGAACGTGCTTACTTCATGAGTTGTCCAGGGTTACACGACATACAGGCAACGCTTCATGTGTGGGCGAGTAATTAATACACGCAATTCCAAGCCTGGTGCCAAGCCCTCGCAAGTCTCCTGCTCCGAGATTCCTATGGTCCCCGTCTGTCCTCAATTCATTTTTCCTGTAGTTCTTCACACCTGAATTTTACGCAGCATCCTCAGCACCCATTTCCGTCTTACAGAGGCAGTTTTCGCACCCGAGCCCCTCCCTAAGCTTACCCGCCCGCACTCCGCCCGCCTCGCGCTCTGCAGCTGGAACGCCAGGCCCAGACCGCTACTTCGCCTGTCCCCGCCTGTGAGCCTCCGGGCCTGCGGCTGACAACCTGAGCACTGGAGTCCAGTCCACCGCGATCTCAAGAGCCTACGCCTCCCTTATTTACTAGCAGGGAAAACGTCATTTCCGCTTTTGTTGCTGCACTGTCTCGGCCGGAAGTCTGAGGCGGAAGGGGAGGGGCCGGAGGAAGTTGGAGCCGGAAGTTCGGTACCGGTGCCACGTACGCTGCGTTGGTGACAATCAGGGAACCAAAGCTGGGCACCATGGCGGACTGGACTCGGGGTGAGCGCGCGAGAGGGGGTCCGGGGACATCGGGCCGGGGCTGAGCCGTCATCTGCCTCTCTCGGCTGGAGGACTCTGCCCGGAGGCGGCGCTGGGGCCTTCCGGGCCGAGTGCCGCGGGACTGAGGCTGGCTCTGTTGGGGCCTCGTTGGGACGGCAGGTGCTTTGTGTAGTGTTGGTGAACCGGAACCTGGAAAGGGCCAGCAGCTAAGGGTAGGGAAGGGTCCAAGAATGCTTCTACTGATTTGGGGTCTGGGCTCTAAAGTTCACCTCTCGGAGCCTGTGTTTTCGTATGCAAAGAGGGATACTGATGCCTGTGCTGTTTTGGCAACTGAAGGAATTAATGAACATAAAGTGGCTTAGGGTCTGTAAACTCTCATGATTACTAGGGCTGTGTCCCTTCCCTGAGGTGGGTCACATCGAGGCTGATTCTCAGCGCAAATTGCCTTGTTCGTGAGGAGGTAATTCTTAATCACTTAATGTGACAGCCCGCCACAGGCCGATTTCTGCAGGCACTGCGCTCCAGGTGTCAAAGGAGGCATTGTGTGCAGAGGTGGACCAACCTCAGCTTCTGTTTTTAGGGGGAGGGGGTTGGAGAGCTTCAGTCATTTCCTTTGCAATAAAGGGCCTTCGTGATGTCCTGCCTTGGTTACTTGTCACCTCTGGCTCCAGTTCCTAGGTCAAACCTGCACAGCCTTCCATGATAGTCTTCTTATGTGTCTAGAATTTACTGTTTTCGTCTGACTGCAGTTACACATCCACAGATGGTAATGTCCACAGAGGACATCTAGGCTTAGTCTAGGTTCTTGCAGAGCATCAGATGGGGCTGGTTGGACTGAACCTGGTGAAATCCCTTGCCCACCCCTACCTGGGCATGCTTACATGACAGGTGCTCTACAGCTTATCTCACATGTACATGGTTTACCTGTTGGAACTTGGGGTAGGATTGGATCTGCTCAACAAACACAAGTAGATCCTATCTCCCTAGATGTCTTCCTAAGCTAGAGTTGGAGTGAGAGGGGTCATGAATAGATGTTACTCTTCAGCCTCTTTCTCTTCTCACAGCTCAGAGCCCTGGTGCTGTGGAGGAGATTCTAGACCTGGAGAACAAGCGGATGACTGATAGCTTGGCCTCCAAGGTTACCAGGCTCAAATCGGTAAGTGGTGGTCCTTTTCTGTCCTTTCATCTCCACCTAGTGCCCTGGAGATTGGGACGCAGGGTGGGTAGGGGGCCTGGAGGAATTCCAGGCAGGTTTCTGTTGGCTTTGTGCTGCCCATGGCTGTGCTTACTTGATTGCAGCCCGGGGTTGGGGATTTAGCTCAGTGGAAGAGCGCTTGCCTGGCAAGTGTAAGGCCCTGAGTTCGGTCCCCAGCACCGAAAAAAAAAAAAAAAAGGAAAAAATAGAAAAAAAAAGCAAAACAAACAAACAAAAAAGACTTGATTGCAGCCCAAGGTGATACCTTGACCTTTCTGGCCTGTGCTAGTGCACTGATCTGACAGAGTTGTGAGCGAGGTATAGCTGGTCTTGAGGGGAGGGTGGGTACTATGTTCTGTCTTGGTCTGACCCTGTCCCCTCTGTTCTGACTAGCTGGCCCTGGACATTGATAGAGACACAGAAGACCAGAACAGGTACCTGGATGGCATGGTAAGGGTCTGCAGTGTGCACAAGTCACAGTTGGCTCTCCCTGTGAAGCTTGCTCTGCATTCTGTGCCTCCAGTGCTGGTGTGGGTTGGTGATCGGTCAAGGTGCTGCCCTGTGTGATCCTATTGGGTCCTTCCCTCAGGACTCGGATTTCACAAGTGTGACCGGCCTGCTCACAGGGAGTGTGAAGCGCTTTTCCACGATGGCACGGTCTGGGCGAGACAACCGGAAGCTTCTTTGTGGTATGGCTGTGGGCCTGATTGTGGCCTTCTTCATCCTCTCCTACGTCTTATCAAGGGCAAGGACGTGAAGCAGTGGGAGCCAAGGGCAGCTGGGGTCTTCCTCACCTGGTATCCTGGGCTCCTGAGGACTTACCTACAAAATATTCTTTTGTAATTTCCATCATGGGACAGGCTGTTTCTTCCTATGTGCTGAAGGCCACAGCTGCCTCTGACCCAATAAGCTTGTATCTGTCACAAAGGGACCCTTTTCCTTGGGTAAACCAAGGCCCAGCCCCCAGCTGCAATCCCTGGTGCTAGAGACACTGACAAAGCCAGGGCATGTCGTGCCAGAATGAGCCAGGTCTGAACAGAGCAGCTGTGGGTCCTAAATGTGTCCACTGTGGCTGGCAGCCCTTTTTCCAGCTCTCAGGGCTGTGATACCATAAGGCCCTTCTGTCCTGTCTGTGCCTCGGTGAGATCGTGAGAAGCCTAGGGCTGAAGCCAGAAGGAAGGAGCTGTGGCTGTGAACCCTATGTCAGCTGTCTCCAACTGAAGTTTCCTCAGCCTGTATGTGGCAGTTACTCCTGGCCAAGGCTGCTGAGCAGGGGTGGGCCAAGAGTTTCCATCATGAGACCTGTGCCCAACAATTTCTGAATGAAGCCAGACCCCTGGGAAGGACAAGGCTTGTATGCAAGAGTGGACCAAGACCTTGGCTGGACAGTGAGCTTGGATCCTTCTGGGTCACAGGGGTGTATGTCCAGGAGCAGAGGAGCATGCCCTCAGGATTCAGGTCAGATCTCCCCAGTGTCAAAGTTATATCCATCCCCAAGAGAGTAAACCCAGAAATGGTCCATTCTGGCTTTTCAGAGTCAGGCAAGAGATCTTCCTGGTGAGGGTCCACCTGGTAGGGTCTACGCTACCTAGTGAGAGTGGCCACACCATTGGTAGCTGGAACTTTTACCCCACACTACCTCCTGCTCTTCCTCCCACAGCCAATCTTCCCTTGCTGTGGAGGACTTCTGAGCCACCCTCCTCTACAGATGCCTTCCCCCTCAATGCTCTTTCGTTCACACAGACTGAATTTTTGGGCTAGCAGGTCTAGAAGCTTCTGAGAGCCCAGCATCTTTGTCTTCACATCAAAAACATGTTTAAGGAATGAATGGTAAAGTTCTGTGCTTTTCTTTGTCCTTATGTATATATGTGTCCCTGTTACTCCTTCCCTCCTCTTGGACTATTGGCTCATCGTCTATATCTATTTGTGTGGCCACACCATGAGGCCTGTCTATCCAGAACTACTACTTCCAAGGTCCAGACTGACACAGATCAGCCACAGTCTGGACTCTCAGCACCTGTGGTCCCACCTTAATCCAACCTCCAGCGCTGAGACCCTTCTCTTCTTTCAGCAGCCTACTTTTCTCCACACATATTCACCATCATACCCCTTTTCTTATGTCCTGGCCCTTCTGTTAGGTCTGGGAGAGCCCTTAAGTCTTGTGGAGAAGGCTCTGTGGCTTTGCTGTTTCTATGACACCCTTCCAGCTGGACTGGTCTAGCTTGTGCCATTTCCTTTGATGACCCCCTGTACACCCTGCCACCCTTGTTCCCGGTGTCCTGTGCACCAGGGCTTATCCTGCTTGTTACAAGCATGATAGCAGCTGCCTGCATCATTTCCCCATCTGGTCCCTGCAGGCACTGTGGTGGGCACATAATGCATCAGCTCTGCCTTCTGTCTTCCTGGACAACATGCTGCTGACTTCTCTACTTGAGAACACAGCTGAGCTGTGAAACCCAAACCAGATATCTGGATGCTCTTGCCATGGCCGGTGCCTGCTCACCCTATGGGGTCAAGTTAGGAGTTTAGGCCTGCATTTTGGAGGGATTTCCCCTGGCATAGTGCTTTCGCCATCTTTCCAAGACCCTTTGAGGCTATGTTCTCTCCTGGGGTCTCCATCTCTGCCCCCCACCTACCCATCTCCATGGCAGTCCTCCAGCTATTTTGGGCTCTGGGTTATAGCTGTTTTCCAGTTTACTTTTTGTTCCTTGTTCTTGCTTGTATGAATCTTGTGTTGTATGAATTCCAGGAAGGAGATAGCAACCCCATGGCTACTGGGTCAGACCAGTTTCCTGAAGGGCCATAAGCATGGTCCTCTAACCTGGCCCTGTGCACCAGGCACCTAACCCTGTGGATAAGTGGGGTTCCAACTTGGTCCCTGACACCAGCAAACCAAAAAAAGACCTCTGGGACCCAGTGTGTGATGCCATGGGATGAGCTGCCAGGCTGTATCCCACAGTTCAAGGACATGTTGGCAATAAAAACTTGGAATAAACAGCTTCTGAAGAAGAAATCGGTGTACTCTTTGTCTTTATTTCCTAGGGGTTTGAGGGAGTTTTCTGGAGTTGGCCCTGGTCCATGGGCTGGCTGTGGGTACTGGAATAGATCCTCTCCATCTTCTGGGGATCCCTTGTCACCACTCATCCATCCCCTCATCAGAGCTGTCCCCAGGTTGGACAGCCACAGACCCACTAATTCCTGCTGTGTGGCCTTTCTTTCCAAGTTCCTGCACTGTGATGGGAATGATGATATTGTTACCTCTTCAGGAGTAAGGGGATAAGTGAGAAGTGCTGTGGTCCCAGCTGAGTGATAGTTAGCAACTACACAGGACTGTCAGAGGTGATGGTCCCACAGGAGTTAGATAGGGCCCGTCTCCCAAAGCTGAGGTGAGATCAGGCCCCATTTCCTGAAGCCCAACTTTTGGGCTTCTGGGAACCTCTGCAGATTCTCTGCCTCAGGCCCAGCTGAGATGTCCGTTTCCTTGCCCACATCCTTGCATTAGCCATTGGTGTTAGGTTCCTCTGAGACTGGGTCACATCTGTCATGTCTCATTGTTACTGTGGTCAGAATTGGGGGCAGCCCAGTGGATGATCCTGTCTACTTCACCATGTTGAAACTTCCACAGGTGGGCTGGGGCTGCATCAGTTGAAGGCTGGCTCACCAGCCCAGAGGTCAGTGCTGGTGTGAGCTGAGGCCCTGGCAGGCTTCCTGTGTGAGATGCCTTTGGAGTCTTGCATACACTTAGCTTCTTCACAACACATACACATGGGGTATCAGGCAATAGCACTTATGTTGTACCCCTTATTGAGGGTGGGGGCTCACAGACCCCAGATCTCAGAGGGAGGGCCACATGTGAGAAGAGGTAAGCACAGGTAAGATTGGGGCGGGGGGGCACTTAGGCTCTTGCCTGCCCATCTCCCTGTGAAGACCCCAGGCCTGGAAGTCAGAATGGGACCCCATATGGGTCGGTACTGACAACCCATGCGGATCACTTCTGGACAAGCTTGATCCTTTCCCCAAAAGAAACCCTTACAAATGGAATCTGTGATTTATTAAGTAATTTGGACACAGCAGGAAATAAGATTAGCCAATGGGAAGATAGCATAGAAAAAAATAACTTGTTAAAATTGTCCAAATAAGCATGCTCAGGACGGTAGTGACCCGGTTGTTGAAGTATCCAGTCCACTGCCCAGCAAACCTCCTGAGGGACCGTCCTATGTACAGCTGGTGGGGGTGGGGTGAAGCTATTCCACATCCACAACCAGAGGAGTCATGTAGTCAGAGTGCCTGATGCCGAAGGTGACGATAGGGGCACAGGGTTTGGTCAGGGTCACCTGGGAGAGGAGAGGGTTCTTGCTCAGGCTGGGGCTAGACTGCTGTTTCTCCTGAACTCAGGGCCAAGGTGGCCAGGTGCGAAGGCCATGCTGTGGACTCTGAGCACAGTGCACTCAGCAGGATTAACTGTCACAAGTAGCTGAGAAGGGTTGGGGCTCTGGTTCCCTGTACCCGAAGGGTTGCCTTCTGGATGAGTGCGGAAAGTGCACAGGGCAGCCCTGCAGGCCCTTCCCCTTCCCATGCACTCAGGGCCCTGTCCCCTGATCCCCACCCAATCCCTTTAGTCTTTTTTTCCTAGACCTTCTCAGGACTGTGAGCGCCTGGTCCTGGCTTGAGGGTCTTGTCTCCTGGTGGCTCTACCCGGGCAGCCATGGTGTACTGTGGAGCCTTGAACTTGGTCACCTGTACATCAGTCTGGCGATATGCTGCGGGACCTGGGGTCTGGGAAGTGGTGGAGGCTCAGACAGGAGTGTAGCCCCAGAGAGTAGGGGGGCAAGTTTGGTACCCTGTATCACTATGGGAGCTCTGACCTGTCTCTTAGCCATGGGGACAACACCCACTATTCGTGGAACACCTCTGTGTGGGGTGCAGTCCTCAATTTCAGCCTGAGCAGTGAAGTGTGTGCCACACCTGTGCACACCCGTTCTGTGAGGGTGTGTGTGAGGCCCCATCTTGGATGGGACATTGTCTTCTTGGTTGGGAGGACAGTGGCCTGGGGCTAGTGAGGTCAACATTGAATTGCCTCACAGGCCCACCCCAGGGCCTTTGCACTGGCTAGTAATGCAGGTGGAATCCTCCTCCCACAGATATTTCAGGGCTTACCTTTTCTCCTTTCTTTAGTGCCCCTAACTAAGACTGCTTCTTGCCAGGGCTCCACAAACCCTTTCTCTGCTTGACCTTAGCCCCATCACCATCTCCCATGCTGGTATCTGACCCTGCCCCACCAGTAAATGTAGCCCCAGCATAAGGTAGGGTGGGTCCTAGGTCTATGGAGGGCCCTTGCCTTGTGCAGGTCATCACTGAAGCTTCCCAGCTTGCTGCGGCCCTTGATGGAGAAGGAGGGCTGGGAGACCTTGCCCACCGTGTGTGGTCCCATCACCACTGGCAGCATGTATGCAGCAGGGCCTGTGAGGGTGGATGAGGAGCCTCAGGCCAGAACAGGGCCTACTAGTTCCTGGGGTTCTCTTCACCCTTGCCCCAGACCTGCCATGGGGCTGCACTTCCTCCTCCACCCTTGCAGGGACTCCCACTTCAGTTAGCCAGTTGACTGTCAGAGCTGCAGCAGAGACCTGGGGTGCTATCCACTCGGAAGGTCTTGGTCCGCGCAGAGATGGAGTGGCTGGGCGCTGAGTCAAACACATGCTTGGTAGATTTCTCTGGAAAGTAGTCACCTGGAGAGTGGGGTAGGAGGGGAGGTGCAAGAACAGCAGGCATATGGGTGCCCCCACCCTGGGGTGCTCACACAGGGTGCCCCAACACTCCCATCACGAGGCCTCTGGGCCCAACACAGTGGTGAGAGGGTTTAGTCAGGATGTCCAAGAAGAAAACATTGACTTTAGGGCTATTTTTGAGCAGAGGGAGCAGGCCCTGATGTGGGTGGTCCCTTGACTCCAGGTCAGAGCAGGCTCTACTGCTCTTCAGCTCTCCACCCTGGCCTCCACATATTAGGATGTGCATATCTGGACTAGGAGCCTGAGGTGGGGCCACTTACCCGGGCCAGGGGTCAAGATGTTCTTGGTGTGATAGCGCCCCAGGATGGAGTAGGTGGGACCGAGATCCTTGCCAGTTCTTAGAATCTTGGGGTTCACACTATAACGGGGTCCTGGGGAGCAGTTCTCTGCCAGGAGCATGGGAGCCCCACGGAAGCTGTAGGCTGGTGCCCTCAGCTTGGTGGGTGTATGCTTCACAAAGCCTGTGGGCACAGTGGCTCTGAGCAGCTGGACCCAGATCCCCCTTCTCCCCACTGGGAGTTAGGAACTGAGCTCCAGACCAATCCCAACATTGGCTCCTGTCTCTTCCACATGTCCTCCCACCCCAACAAGCTCCCAGGCTCTTACCCGTGGTGGGTGGAATCAGGTACTTGGGTCCTGGGCTGCTGTAGAGGGCCATGATGGGCCCCCGGGGGCGATGGGGCCTCCAGTTGCCTACCCATACCTCCTCTGCCATGGCTGGCTCTGTCCATGGACAAGAGGGTGACCAGGTGCTGGGAGCCCCTGGCCCATCTCATCCTGGTCCCCATATCCCTGCCCCCAGTCCTGCTGACAGTGACAGGGCAGGAACTCAGGCTACAGCCATCTCTATGGGGGGTCTCTAGCAGTTGGAGGCTGTGGGAACCTTCTGCTTGGTGTGAGCTCACCCTCCCCAGCTCCAAGAGGGGGTGTCAGGTAATGCAGTACAGGCCCAGAGATACTGCCCACTCTGGCCCTCGACTGACCACCCCCTTGGCTCTAAAGGGTTCTAGTCAGGTCCCTCCTACTGAGAGAACCCTGGGTGCAACTTGGCAGGGAGCTAGTAGGGGAGGTCGGAGCTGCTTGACTGGGCTGGGTCTGGGCAGGAGGGGGCCACTCAGGAGGCCTCACCTCCTCTGTGCTGGAGTGGGCTCAGAGCAGCCTGGGACCCAGCCTCCACACAGGCCGGCCCGTCCTCCTGGCGTCAGTGCCAGGCAGTTCCCAAAAGAGGAGCATGAGAGAAAGGCCTCCCTCTCTCCCCCGGGGCTTGGAGAATTGGGAAGAGTCCCTGCCCCTGAGCTCTAGAATGTAGCTCTGTGGGACTGGGAGTTCTAGATCACAGTATGTGTGATGGAGACAATGGCCTCTACTCTGGACCCCTCATCAGGCCCCACTCTCCAGGCCTCCCCTCAGGGATTGCCATCCTCTCCAGGGATGCCCCACTCTCTTCAGATACTCCCATCCTTTTTAGGTATCCCCACCCTCTCCAGACCCCACCCTGTCCAGGGACCTCTACCCTCTTTAGGGATCCCCACCATCTCCAGTCCCACCCTCTCCAAGTTATGACCCTCTTTGTGTTTGGCTAGGGGCAGAGAAGCCCCAGCAGTGATTTTGCAGGGCCCAGAGTCTGAGATGGGCAAGGAGTGAATGTGGTGATCCAACTCAGCCCTGCCTCCACTACAGTCCAATGCCCTGGAGAAACTGAGGCCCAGGAAAGTTCTGGCTGCTGGGGATCCTGGGGCTCGGGGTTAGGTTTCAGGTCTATGTTGGTTGTAGCCAGAAGGAGCTGGCATACGGAGCTGTCCTACAGCTTATTTTCAGACTCTGCTGGTCCTTCAGCACCCAGAAGTCCAAGCTCTTTTCTTGAATCCTGGGTGTTCTCATGAGAAGGTGGATTTTCTTAGCAACGTCATCAGGGATCCTCTTGGGGCTCATCCTTGGGTTAGTTTTTTTCCTTGGGTGATTTTGGGGAGATTATTGTCAAAGCCCTCAATACCTGTGTATCTGCTGCCTGTGTCATCATATACATTTCTCATGCATGGCTACTGTCCTGAATCATAAACTTTCACACAGACCCCCAGCAGGGATAGGGGTCTTATCCTTCATGTTCCCATGGCCACTTCCTCTGTCTGACCTCTGCTTCCCCATCAGCTGCCCTGGTCCTCTTACTACAAGCCTCCTCCCTCCTGGATACCTCCTGACCCTGCCTATATGGTATCTGCTGGGTCCTCTCCCAGGTTATGTGTATTCACTTCCTGTGTGTCCCTATGAGTGCTGCTCTTTGATGTGGCCCTATTTTTGTGACTCTGCATGTCAGTTGTGTCCTCGAATGTGTCCCTGTGTGGGGAGAGACAGGAGTCAGAGCATGGGCTATTGGAGGATTTATTGATTCAGCAGTTGGAGGGTGAATTTACTTGTGGGGAAACAGCCATGGGGCACCGTGTCCATGGCTGCTTGTGTGGGCAGTCGTTGGGAGCCACATCCGAAATCCATTTAGGCATCATCCTGACTGCTCAGCACTTGCACCTGGAAGGCAAACATATGTGGGCTAGGAGACCTGGTGACCAACAGCCAGAGACCCACAGCTCCCAGAGGCAGACAGGCCTGGACCCACCTCCAGGGGAGACAGGCTCAGGTACATTGCTGCCCACCCTTATAGCAGCTGGGAGGGCTGTACACATGTACACTGCATGTGTGCACCTGTGTGTGCATGCATGTGGCATAGCCTGCACCCTAGGGGAAATCAGATCTAAGGGGTCTTGGGGCCTCTCTGTGGGCAGGGAGGTCTGGATTAGTCATCTCAGTGGGCAGAGGCAGGTCAGGGTATGGGGAGGGTTGTGGAGTGCTGCCTTGGGTGGATGATCAGGGGCCATGCATGGGTGGGTCTTGGCAAGACTACAGGCATTTAGGAAATTGGAGCCCCGGCCCCAGTACCAGCAGCTTGATCAGCTCTGCCTTATGCATGGGCTGCAGGTTGTCGATGCAGGACTTGAGCTCTGTCAGTGCTGCCTTGGCGTCCTCGTTGATGTTGTGCTTGCCCAGGGGCCCCTCATAGAGCTCCTCTGGGGTTCCCACCAGCAGTGTTTGCAGAAAGTCCATGAAAAACTCATTGTCGTCTTCCCCTGTGGCCAGCCCTGTATTGAAAGAAGAGATGCCTGCCTGGGAGCTCCAAGCCCTCTCCCAAATCTTTTTGTGAACACTTCCAACCCTATCTGCTGCAGCCTCCTCCCCTATCACCTAATTGCACCTGTTCTAATTTTCATTCTGAATTCCTGATCTCACTGGGAAAGGAAAGTCAAACCTTGATTCAGTGTTATTTTCTCCCTTGATGTGAGGCTGAACTGGGGTGGCTCAGAGGGTCAGGGTCAAGCTACATTGAACTGGGATAGGTGACATTGGGCTTGGTGGTGATACTGGGGCTGGGAATGGGCTTGGGCTTATCTGGATTTTGTCTAAGGCCGGTGTGGGGTGGGTGGGGACTGGGGTCGGTAGAATCTATGCACTTCTGTGGATGATCTATGATGCAGGCAGGTGGCGTCCACCATGAGGGGCTTCCCAGGTCCCCCCGCCCCTTAAATGTGCTGGAAACTTGGTCCAGACTCACCACAGATGCAGAGCAGGGTGAGAGCCACCAGCAGGAGGGCACCACTCCCCTTCATGGCGACAGTCTCAGGAGTTGCTTGGTGAATTCCGGCTTTTATATGTTACCAGGAGGCAACTCGCCCAGGGGGCCGGCCAGACCTGTCCATCAGGACCTGGCAAGAGAGCTGGGCAGGCATGTCCTTGTCCCCCCACTGAGTGCCAAGCAGCACCAGGCTTGAGCAGTCTGGTGAGGGGATTTTGGCAAACAAATTGGGGTAAATGGAGTGAACTGAGTCAGGGTGAACCTAGCAACGGAAGCCTTGGGAGCTGGTTCATGGGAAGGGTAGAGTAGTCAGGGTCAAAAGCCTCTACTCATCCTTGGCCTTGAAGGTGTAGTGATGGTTCTGGTGGGCCCAGACCTTTCTTTGGTAGTGAGAATTCCCCTCCACTCAGCGTGCTGCGTGGCCCTGGTCTGCACTTGGGAAGGGGCGAGCCCAGGGCTTACCTGATCTGATGGAATGGCAGGCAGGAGGGGCCTGGACGTGTAGACAGAGGGGTGTATGCTTACTGGGGGTGGGAAGAAGACCCAGGCCACAGTAGGCCTGAAGTAGGGAGAACTGTTCAGGGAGAGAAGGTGGCCTGAGGGACTACCCCTGAGGCTTGGTGGAAGCAGGAAACCCTTTGGTTCTGGTGACACCATCTTGCCACTGTTGTCTGGTTCCTCTCTCCTTGTCCTCTACTGCCTCCTGGTGGCTTATCACCCCTGTAGGAACCTGGCCTGCTTCCCTACAGGAGTGCTTGTTGCAGAGCCTGCCCAGCCCTTGAAGCCCACTCCTTCAGAAACCAATTTTACCCCGGCATGGTCAGAGTGTATCCCATCCATGCCCTCATCCTCATCTGAGCCTGTTACCATGTGCTCCTCAGCACCCTGCCCTTCACGTCCCTCCACCTGGCCCTGAGTATCTCCTGGTCAGACATAGCCTCCAGACCCGTTACATGCCTCTGAAGCCCTGTTCCCAAGACCCGTGGTTCTTGCCCACTGAGACTTCTGTTTTTTATGAAACTCCTTTATCATCCTTTTCTGGCATGAAATTAATTCCATAGATAATATAACCTACTTAGATACAGGATTACAAAAACGTAGGAGAAATCATGTGTAATAAAGTGGTCTGTGACAGAACATGGTGGTTGGGTAAGGTATGGTCAAGGCAGAGCTGGCTCGCCCATCTTGCAGTGGAGCTCACTTGGAGAGGTCTGTAAGTGCTAGGCCATGGTGCAGTGCCGTCAGGGGCAGGGGCTGGGGTTTGGCATCTGTGGTAGTGAAACCTGGAAGTTTCTGACATATAGACCTGGCATTATCTCCTATCACTTTCCTCCCCACTGTCCACCAAGGGGCTCAAGGTGGCCCCTTGGCTTCCCGTTGTGGCATTCAGTGTGCCGTTTTTCCTCTTCCTTGACCCCAGTCCATCGACAGCACACACTGTCCTATGTTGCTCTGTAGGCTGTTCTGCAATGTCAGCTATAGAATATCCATGGTGTCTCATAATTGCGGAACATCTTGAGAGTCTCCAGGCTGCCTGTGCCTGCTCACTCCTCCAGTGTGGTTCTTCGTAGATGTCACTGTCCACATAGCTGGGCAATTTCATGCCCTGAACCTTTACCCCTCCCTCTTGTCCTTGAGTCATAAGCAATGCTGACACTGACCTCCTTTCTAATTCCATTTCAAGCACCCTTCTGAACATCTGGGCTCGCTCCCTAAAGTGTCTGTGCCCCGCAGTTGGGATTGCTTTTCCTCACCCGTGTCACATCTAGCTGCTCACATTTGTTGGGTCATCATTGCAATCATTCCTCACCTGGCACCCTATACCTCTGGCCCCTCTCCCTCAGTTTCCTGAAAAAGGCCCAACACTGGATGAATCTGTCTCAGTGCTCCACAGAATGTGACTAGACACTACCTGGCGGGTCAAGACCATAACCTTAGGTCCTGGGGTGCTGCAGATTTCCAGTGATGTGTTCTCATATGCTGGTGATGACTTCTTGTCACACTTTCTGTCCCCTTCTTACTCTCTGTTCCTTGGTTCTTATTACAGAAACACAGGATAAGAAAAAACCCTGAAAATTCATCACCAAACCCACCTGTCTTCATTTGAAGGATCCACTTCCCATTTCCTTCCTCATGTAATGAGATGAACTGTCCTTGTGCATAGTGTTGGCCAATCCTCTTTTCACCCCTCATCAGTTTGTTTTTTAGCAGTACTAGAGAATTAACCCAGAGCCTTACACTTGCAGGCCAGTAACAGGATTGACCCTGTCTCCCCCAAAGCAGGCTTCTCAGCAATATCCCCTCTGATCTCAGACGTAGATTTGCCTTCAAAGGCACTAAGGGTATCACAGGACAGGAACTGCTGGGCTCTGCCATTATCAGCCACAGACCTGTGCAGACAGCCTGAGGGCTGAAGCCACAGAGGTTGCCACTGACAACTTGAGTCATGCTATGATATACAGGGCCTCCTTCTTCCTCCCTGTGGGTTTTGGCGCTGGCATTAGTGGGATGAGGAGAGCAGAGATGTGCCTGGACTGCAGCTTGTGTTCTTGGCTACATCTTCCTCGAGTGTGGCTCATGTTACAGCTCATTACACCAAGAGCTCAAATTTTCAGTGAAATCCAGGCCAAAGGCACCTAACAATCTACATGTCTGTTGACAGGGAATTGGTGCTAGGACAATCTGTGAGACTGTACAATAGTTGGAGAGGATGTGGGCCATGTATGCACTGCCTTCAGCAACGCTCTAGGGTATGCTGCTGTGTGAAAAGCTGTAGTGTTGTAGCAAGATCCTATATCCTTCCTAACAATAACAAATCTACATGTGTAGAACACCCTGGAAAGACACACCAGATGATCACGGTGGTAGCCTTTGGGAATTGGGCTTAAAGGGTGTTTACTTTTTATTGTAAAGTCTTTTTTTTTTTTCAGTACTAGGGTGTGAACTCGGGTCCTTGGGCTTTCTAGACAGGCACTATACCACTTGAGCCACACTCCCAACCCTTTTTTGCTTTAGTTGTTTTTTGGGGATAGGGTCTCTCTTTTTTTTGTGTGGGCCAGTTTGAACTGTGATCCTCCTATTTACGCTTCCTGCCTAGCTGGGATGACAGGCATGAACACCAGCTTTTATTGGTTGAGATGGGGTCTCCTGAACTATTTTTCCTGGGCTGGCCTTGAACCACAATCTTCCCACTCTCCACCTCATGAGTAGCTAGGATTACAGATGTGAGCCACTGTACGTCAAAGTCTTGATTCTTCTTTTTTTTTGCAGTACTGGGGCTTGAATTTAGGGCCTCATGCTTGCTGGGCAGGTGCTTTACCACTTGAGCCATCCCACCAGTCCCTGATTTTTTTTTTTTATAATGCATGTTAATAGAAGGGTAGGAGATGGAAACGGATCATCTTACTGGGAGACAGGCAGTTGCTACAAGGCTTCCTCTAGACCTGCCCTGTGGTGCATGTTGACAGTACGCTCCTAAGGCCCTACCTGCAAACACTGCCTGCTGCCAGGGCGATACCATGGCTTCCACATGAGGGCAACAAGCCTCACCTGCGCCCACAGCCCTAACTGGAGCAAGGCTGGCCCTGACCCATCTGTGGAGTTGCTTTTAGCTAGAGCCGCTCTAGCACTTACTAGGGTAGGGTTAGGGTTAGGGTTAGGGTTAGAGTTAGGGTTAGCACTTACTAGGGTTAGGGTTAGGGTTAGGACTTACTAGGGTTAGGGTTAGGGTTAGCACTTACTAGGGTTAGGGTTAGGGTTAGGGTTTAGGGTTAGGGTTAGGGTTAGGTTGAGGGGTTAGGGTTAGCACTTACTAGGGTTAGGGTTAGGGTTAGCACTTACTAGGATGCCCCACTGCTTCCTAAGAGGAGCACTCATGTTAATGTTTTCCTCCTGCCTTCCATGTGTGGATGGCTGCCAACCTGCAGTTCTGTGCACAGAGCGTAGGGTGCAGGCGGTGTGGATGGCACACAGACCCGAGCACTGGTGAAAGTGACCCTTCTGTAGAAGCAGAGCACTCTGGATTGGAGGTGGATTCTTCTAGGTGAGATGTCACCAGGCAAGGGGCCTTGCTGCCCACCCTAACCTCATGCCCATAGGTGCAATAGAAGGACGAGCTCTACTGGAAGTTTACCTCAGCCATCCAGGAAATGCAGCAGAAGACGGGCTTCAAGAATCTGGTGCTGGAATGCAAGCTGCAGGCATTAAGCCTGCCATGAGAAAAGAGATGGTGGTGGATTCCAACCTGTATCATGCAGCTCTGATGCTTGTGTCCCGCTTCATAGGCCCCAGACAGGGTCCTGAGGAGGGACTGGCTGGTGTCCACATTACTGCCCCCAGTGGGTGGCCTCATCTCCTGTAGTGGGACTCTCAGCCCTGTGCTGTGCCTACTCAGTTAGAGACCCCTCAGTTAGCCACAGCACAGGGGCGGCCATGGTTCCTGCAGTGGGGCAGTTGCAGGTGTCTATGTCCCTCTGGCCTGTGTGCACCAGCAATTTCCTCCTATGGTTTTTTCCACATCTCTCTTGGGTCGTCTTGGCTCCTCCTTAACCTCATGGCATCTCAGAATCTCTGAGTCTTTGCCATTCCAGTTCTTCCTTATGACTCACCCCTGGTGTGTCAGGCATTAGATATGGAGTGGAACCTGAGGACGGCCTGAGTGAAAAGCTGCTCTTGGAATCTGCAGCTCTGAGTTCCTACAGAGCTCTGTCTTAAGACAGACTCAGACACAGGCCTGGAGGATGGCTGTGGCTCTGGGAGGCCCCCAGAATGGACTGAGCTAGGACTTGGACAGTGAGGATAGGAAAAGTGTAGGGCTGTAGAGTTCTGGAGGCCTAACCTAGCCCTTGCTGACTTTGTGGGTGCTGGGGAGTGAGGTCTGAGCAGAGCCCAGAATATTCACTCATCCTTGTGGTGCTGCTTTGTTAGGATTGTCCTGGGCATGGTGAGGACAGCAGTAAATAAAACAGATGAGGCCTCGGCCCCCATGGGCCAGCTGGGGGGGACAGAAGATACCTGGTCAGCTAAGAATCAGGAGGCTGTAGCTTCTTGTAGAGCCTCCCAGTGCACCTGTTACTTGTCAAGCCTCTGGTGTTGGGCCTTGTCCCTCTGCTCCCCCAATTTGGCTGGTGGGGTGGAGGGGTAGTTCACAGAAGGAACAGGTGACAGAGGAGGGGACCTTTGGCTGACACTGGAATCCCAAGCAACCAGAGCATTGTGCTCCCAGACACGGCTGCTTCCTTACTGTCGGTGGATGTCATTTGTCAGGTGATACATCACACAGTTTAGTTGAACACAAATGCCATCTGCTCACCAGAGACTCCAGGCTCCAAGTGTTAACTTTGTGTTAAATCACCTAATCTCTATTTAAAGCACTCCAGCCCTATCTGCTCCCACCTGGCCACCATCCTAACTTGAGGCTTGCGGCATTACACATAGTAACAATTTCCTCAGTGTCCTGGAGAGCAAGCACTCACGTTTGTGGGGTGCAGGGCTCAGGGCGACTGCAAAGGCCTGTCAGCCCCTTGCTGAGCTGTCTTGGGGAGCACCCAGGTATAGAGGGGTGCAGGGCTCAGGCCATTTGCTAAGGACTGTCAGCTACACCCGAGTTTAGCAAAGACTAAGAACCACAGAAGGTTCTGGGCATGGAGGAATGGGTCAGAGACAGCTCACTCTGCATCAGATGGGAAATATAAGGCTAGAAGAAGCAGGTAGGGCAATGCAGCATGAGAAGAGAGGGTCCAAGTATCAAGAAGCCAACTCAGGATACAACCTTGACTGAGAAGGGCCTGGGAGGGTCTGAGGTGACAGGCCCCTGCACCTGACTGAGACCCAGTCATCACACATAGTCCTTGTCCAGTGCCTGGGGTACCCATGTAGCCCTGGAGTCTCAGGTCTGTGGTGATGCAGCCACTCAGGAAGGAACTTGTCACGTGGCTGGGGCACAGTGCTGGCATGGTCCTGGCACTGCTTACAGGCCTGCCTGGTACGTACTTGGGGCTCTGTCCTCGGCTGTGTCCCAGTCTCTCCCTTCCTCACCCCACAATGCTGACCTGGCCTCTCAGGCAGTTGGAAGGGCCTCTTCTCCCCTAGATTAATTTAATGTCCACTGCCCTCAAAATATGGCAGTCAGGGCTCTGACCTTTTTGACCCCTTCGTGAACTGGATGAACAATACACACCCTTTCTGTGTTGAATGTAACACATCAGCAGGATCCTGAAGTTTTAGGGGTGAGGATCAGACTCGACACTGTGCCTGGATGCCAGCTATCATCTGTTCCATGTACCTGAGAGGGGCCTGGGCTTACACTCAGAATGTTCCTGAGCTGGATGCTCTGTCTGTACTTTGCCCGCTATCTGCAGAGCAACCGCCCCACAAGGGTGACTCAGGATCATCCTTAGTTCTGTGGTGGGGGACATTATATCCTGACTCTGTTGTTTGGGTCCCTGTTCAGACATTACTGTCATCCTGAACCTAGACAGTGCCCATTATGGGTTCCCAGGCTCCATGATACCCAAACCACTCAAGCCTCTCAGTCTCTGTCTGCCTGTAGTGCCTTTCCTTCAGATGCTATTGTCTGCACAGAATTAGGACAACTGGCTGTGTGCATGATTCTTGAGGGGGGAGGGGTATCCATGACTTTTATCAAGAGTTTTTGGGGTTCTGAACCCAGGAAGGGTGAGAACCATGTCCCAGCCCCTAAGTCTTCTCTGGAGCCTGTCCAGAGAGACACCCTTTAACTCTCATTTCCAAGCCTAGTGCACTTTTCTGGAACATGGTGAGGATAATGGACCCTTTTAAAAGTTTGCTCCAAACCAGGCCAGGCTCCAAGCATTTCACACACATCTAATTGTCAAACCCTTTAACCACCCAGCAAAATTCACCCTTTAAAAAATGCACATTTTCCAGAGCAGGGAGTGAGACCCTGGCATGAGGCTGAGAAGGTGCTTGCCTGTGCTGGCCCCACCAGCACAGTCATCCAGACCTCCTGTTGGGGTGAGTCAGGGTGACCTGGACCCTTCCCCAGGCAGCCCCAGTCCAAGGTGAAGAAATAAGAGTCTTGAGAAGTCAGAGTGTCATGACCCAATGTTACCTTCTTAAAAATAAGAAAACCTAATCCTAAATTTTACTTTGTTTTTCTTTATTCTAAAGATTCTTTTAAGCCTTCCCATTTGGCTTGAGACTAGCAGCAATGTATAATAGCATAATAAGAAGTTGGTCTAAATACTTATCCTCAGAACTTTCTCATCTTAGCTTCTTATGAATTAATTATTCTGCACTTTCTGTAAAATGCTGCTTATCTAACTGCATGTCAGTGATTCCAAATGCTGTGGACTCTCTTATTCTCATGTAGCAATTTCATATTTCTGGTGTACTTTTCTTAGGGTAGTTTACCTCAAATATTTTGCTGCTCTTTGAGGTGTTTATTTTGAACAGAGGTCTTTCCACAGTCATTATATGTAGGAGGTTTTTGTAAAGTATGAATTCTCTGGTATTGAATAAGGTTTAAAAGTTGAACAAAGGCTTTGTCACACTCTTACATTTTTTAGTCCTTCTCTCCAGTATGAATTCTGTGGTGTAGTCTAAGGCTTGAACACTTGGAAAAGGCTTTGCCACATTCTTTGCACTTGTAGGGCTTCTCTCCAGTATGAATCCTCTGGTGTACTGTAAGGTGTGAACAACGATTAAAGGCTTTGCCACAATCTTTACATTTGTAAGGCTTTTCTCCAGTATGAACTCTGTGATGTTGTCTAAGGCTTGAACACTTGGTAAAGGTTCTGCCACACTCTTTACATTTGTAGGGTTTCTCTCCGGTGTGAACCCTCTGATGTTGTTTAAGATCTGAACCTTTGGTGAAAGTTTTGCCACATTCTTTACATTCATAGGGTTTCTCTCCAGTATGAATTCTCTGGTGGTAAATAAAGGTTGAGCAATTGTTAAAGGCTTTGCCACATTCTTTACATATGTACGGTCTCTCTCCAGTATGAATTCTCTGGTGTTGAGTAAGTTTTGAAATCTGAATAAAGGCCTTGCCACATTCTTTACATTTGTAGGGTTTCTCTCCAGTATGAATTCTGTGATGTTGTCTAAGGCTTGAACACTTGTTAAAGGCTTTGCCACATTCTTTACATTTGTAGGGTTTCTCTCCAGTATGAATTTTATGGTGTTGAGTAAGGTTTGAAATTTGATTAAAAGCTTGACCACATTCTTTACATTTGTAGGGTTTCTCTCCAGTATGGATTATATGATGTTGTCTAAGGGTTGAACACTTGGTAAAGGCCTTGCCACATTCTTTACACTTGTAAGGCTTCTCTCCGGTATGAATTCTCTGATGTTGTCTGAGGTTTGAACACTTGTTAAAGGTCTTACCACACTCTTTACATTCATAGGGTTTCTCTCCAGTATGAATTCTCTGGTGGTGCGCAAAGGTTGAACAATCAATAAAGGCTTTACCACATTCTTTACATTTGTAGGGTTTCTCTCCAGTATGAATTCTCTGGTGTATAGTAAGATAGGAATAACTGCTAAAGGATTTGCCACATTCTTTACACTTACAGGGTTTCTCTCCAGTATGAACTCTCTGATGTCGAATAAGGTTTGAGCTTTGATTAAAAGCTTGGCCACATTCTTCACATTTGTAAGGCTTGTCCTGAATATGAGGACTTTGATGTATATTAAGTTTTGAGCATTGAAAGAGTTTCCCACATTTCTTACCTTTGTAAGGTTTTTTTGGAAAACGAGCACACTGATGGCTATTAGGATCTGAGCCACCACTAAAGTTTTTATGAGTTTCACTGGATTCGTAAGGTTTCTCACCAATATAAAAACCCTGGTAATTATTGATGGTAGAGCCCTGGCTAAAGGTCTGCCCAGTTTCATTATTTATATACTGTATATTCCAAGTACCTATATCCACATTTTGGTTAACCAATAATGGGTAAGGAAAGACCTTGTTATGCTTATTAAAATTGTATATTTTGGCACTAGAGGGAACTGAGCTTTTTGTAAATGATCTCTCAAATTCATCACATTTAGAAATTTGTTCATTTTTAAATCTCTTGTCTACAGAAATATCTGAATGAAAATTTAATCCAATGCTACATTTGAAATTATCCAAGTTATTAACTGAATCATGGATTAGGCCCCTTTTCAGATTTTCCAAATTTCCTTTCAGAGCAAAGATATGTTTAAAAAATTGCTGTGGATGTTTATTTATAGAAACATATGGCTCTTCAGAAGAAACTGGCAAAACTTGAGTATTTTTCTGAGATGTTTTATGTTCTTCACCTCTGTCGTCAGTGAAGTTTTGACTACTGTTAGGTGTCACACACTGGTTATGTCCATCATAACAGGCTTTCTGACCTTTACTCTCACCTGCACTTTCCCATTCTGTCCTTAAATGCAAACTGGCAAGGCCACAATTTCCATATCTTCCACTTATCGCTTTTTGGAATGAATGTTTTATGCTGTGCTCTGGTGAAAAGTCTTGGGTATAATGAGATGACATATCTGAAAGAAATCAAAATAACAAATCATCACACTTACTACACTCAGGTGAATATACTTTGCAAGGTAATATGTAATTATATCAAGCTGGGTACATCAGTGGGATAGCAGAATAAAAATCTCATGGTCCTCATTAGTCCATGGCACATGAACTTAACAACAATATACTGACCAAATTAATCTGTGAGAACTTCCAAAACCATCTAAGAATGCAGAGCACCCCAGATAAGCACCCTACTAGGAGGAAGCATATAGTAGGGGGAAGGAAAATTTGTTATTTTGGTCAATCGTACTTCTTCCTCCACCTGAATACAACACTATGAAATAAGGGGAAAATCTTCTAAACCCCCTCTCAGAGTTGAGAAGGAGAATAGTACAACATATGTCCACATTTCTGGCTTTCTTGGGAGCTGTCTGAAAAATGGTTTCCGCTTACCCTGATACAGAGTGTAGGAGGTAACAGTTATATCTCAGATGACAGTTTGGACTAACTCAGGCCAAAGGTAAATGATTACTGCAATACCACAGGTGGTCAACATGAGTAGGAGAGCCTACAGGCTCTAAAGAAGAAATATGGGCAAACCTAACAAACTGGAAAAGTATAAACAGACATCCAGAGAGGACACAAACTGAAAGAATATATATTCCAACAATTCTAGTGCAGCTGTTAAGTGTCAGTATTATCTACATGAAGTCAACTCATAGAGACTGGGAGAAATGACTGGGTTGTTTTTTTTCTTAATTTTACTGTTATTTGACTTTGTTGAAAAACTAAATTATATGTATTTACCATGCACATCATGGTGTTTTAAAGTACATATACATGGTAGAATGGCTAAATCTAGCTAATGAGCATGAGTTAATTTATATAATTATCATTTTTATGCTTTTTATCCATTCTATTGGAATTTATAATGGAACACAATATGTTAAATACACTTGCCATGTTGTGTAATCGAAATCTTGATATTCTTATGCCTATTAAACTAAAATTTTGAACCTTTGGACAATATTTGGCTAAATTCCCCAAGAAGCACAGCCAATGATAACCACCACTTATTCTCTACATTTCTGAGTGTAACTTTCTCAGATTTCATGAGTAAGACCCTGTAGTAATTGACTTTCTGTGTCTATCTCACTTAATGCAAGCTCCTGCATGCTTGCTCATGTTTCTTAAAATTATATGATTTCCTCTTTTTTATGGCTGAATAGGAATTCATTGTGCATACAAGCATGTTTTTTATTCATTCATCTATTGAGGGCCACTTAGACTGATTCCATCTCTTGGCTATTGTAAACAATACTGAACTGAATTGATTTAGTTTCCCTTGGCCATATATTCAGTAACATGGTTGCTGATCATATGGTCTTCTAGTTTTAAGTTTTTGAGTAATTTCCATAATAACTGTACGAATCTACTATTGGGACAAATCAACAAAAGTTACATAGCATACAAAGAATCAGAAAATGTGGCTCAATCAAAGGAACAAAATAAAACACTAGGGGAAAGTGGCCATCAGGAAACAAAGATTTATGAATTACCTAAGAATTCAAAATAACCATTTGAAAGACATTTAATAAGGTAAACAAGAGCACAGAAAAGGGAATGAAATAAGGAAATGAGAATATGAACAATGAAATAAAAATGTAAACAGACATTGTGCAGCTGAAGAATGCAGTAAGAAATAATGTCTAAGAAATTGGAAGCATCAGCAAGGAAACAGATAAAAAATTTAAAAAAGCTCAATTATCTCCAACTGGAATAAACACAAAGAAACTCAAAATGAAGCACATTATATTCACAGTTTCAAAAACTACAAACTGAGAATCTAGAGATCAGCAAGAGAAAAGATGTGTCACCTATAAAGGTGCTTCTATATAATTATCAGTGGATTTCTCAGCAGAAGCCTTGGAATCTAAAAAAGTGTTGGGGAATACAGCCAAATGGCTAAACGAACAAACGCTACCAACCAAGAATACTGTATTCAGTAAAACCATCCCTCAAAAGTAAAATAAATAAGAAAAAAAAAATAAGACTTTCAAGATACATGAATGCTCAAAAGTTCATCACTACTATACCTACCCTACCAAAAATGCCAACGGAGTCCTTCCTATAGGCAGATCAATGCAGATCGTATGAAATTTTAAAGCTCTCTGGGAAAAGAAAATACTTACACAAATACAGAATTCCACAGTTACTGTAATGAAGATATATATAACACTTTTAATTTTGCTACAGAATTTGGAAGAGAAAAGCACAACATCATTATAAACCTGTTAATGGATTTATAATATATAATAGCTATGATATCAGTAACATAACACTGAAGAGAGATGAAAGACAAAGGATTTTTGTATGGAACTGAAGTTCAGTTATTACCAGTTTAAAATATAGTATCATAATCCCTACATAAATGACAAAACATCTACGGAAGATAAACAGAGAGAAATGGACAAGAACTAAAGTGTGTCACTATACAAATCAATGACACAATTATAAGAAATACAGAAAACAACTTACAAAATGGCAATAAATAAGTTCTTCAGTATTATCTTTAAGTATAATGGTTTATAGTTAATCCCCAAAGAAAACACATGAATCGGGTAATGGGATTAAACCTAAGAAAATCTAATTATATGCAGTTTACAAGAGACTCTTTTTAGATCTAAGGTCACAAAACAGGCTGAAAGTGAAAGGATGGAAAGAGTAGTACATGCATTAAGTGACCAAAGGAAAGCAGCCATATCAGTAATTATTTTAAGCAAAATATACTTTAAAACATAAATAGTCATAGAAGATGAAATATACTTTAACTCAGAAACTTTTAACAAGACAAAGAAGAATATTATATAGAGACAAAAGGGACAGTTCACTAGGATATCGTGACAATAATAAATATATATGCAACTTACATCACATGTCCCAAATATAGGAAGCAAACACTGATGGAACTGAAGAAAGAAATGGAAAGCACAACGATAATAGAAGGCTTCAATTCCCCACTTTCTGTAATGTAAAATAAAGCCACAAAGAATGATTATAAGGAAACAGAGACCTTCAAAAATATCACAAACCTACTAGACTTGCAGACACAATCTTCTCAAATTGCTCATCCTGGATAGACAAGTATTAGGATACAAAATAAGTCTTAATAGATTTAAAATGCTGAAATTCTTTTCTAACCATAAGGGAATAAAAACAGAAATCAACAGTGGAAGAAAAACTTTTTAAAAAAAGAAAAATTAAGAAAATCCACAAATACGTGCAATTAAATAATACACCTCCTGAATATAGTTTTAAGAATAAGGTAATATTTTTAAATACTGTCCAATGTTTTCTAGAGATTCCATGTAATCTCTATCAAAATCCCAACATTTTTTGCAGAAACAGAAAAAGCAATTCTAAAAATCATACGGAATCTCAAGGCTCCATGAGGTGCTCAACAGTATTTAAAAGAGAAACAAATCTGGAAGCATTATGCCTTCTCATTTCAAAATATATTAAAAGCTACATTAATGAGAACAGTTTGATACTGATGTGAAGTCAGACAAATAGACATATGGAACAGAGTAGAGAGCACAGTGATAAACCCTTACACATGAACAAATCAAGACATATTTCCACACCAATGTTCACTATATCATTAATTCACAAGAGCCATTAGGTAGAAACAACCCAGATGTCTCCAGACATGAGTGTATGAAGGTAATCTGGAATACAGAAACAATGGATTATTCAACCTTTAAGAGGTAAGAAATCTCAAAATACCTATACTAGGGATTAATCTTGAGGACATTAGGCTAAGTGACATAAGTCAGTCACAAAAAGGCAAATATTGTATGATCCCACTTGCGTATCAGAAGTAGTAAAATTTGTAGAACAGGAAGTAGAAATGTGATGGATAGGAGGGAGATGGAAGCTAGCACTTGTTTTTTCATGGATATTTAATTTTAGTTTTGCAAGAAGAAAACTTTTCAGAGATACGGTGCATAACAATGTGAATATATTTAACACTACTGAACGGTGTACTTAAAATATTTAAGACAGTAAATTTTATTTGATATAGTTTTGATCACAAAAATTTTAAAATACATAAAAGAAAAACAGAATTTTAAAAGTGTTTGAAAGCTACTTTAAATCACGTGTTTCTCTTAAACTAGGCAATTGATTCATCAATAACTTTCATGAAAACTTTTAAGAATAAAAAAACTACTCAGCACCAAGACAGAAAATATAAAGTCATGAGCAAAATGGGTAATATTTATATGCAAATGAAAACATAATTTTATTGGCAACAGACACATGATTCATACATGTTTTAATTTTACCTTTTCCTGTTCTAAATTTTTACAGTATTGAAAATTTTTGTCCAATAATAATACATAGGTTAAAAACTAAAAACATTATTAACTAGTATGAAGGAACCTACTGTAAAAAATGAAACACAGAAAAAGGAATTGTAAAACAAGAGAAACTTTAACCCATAAATCCTAAATACAGATGTACCATTTTTTAACTTTTAAATAACTACAATTTCAACTGTTACAATATACCCATGAAGAACAGTCATTGTGAATGCTAGTATTTGTTGTACAGCAGAAAAGCTTCATAGAGAACCCATTATGATCATTCATAAAGAGCTCTGATGAAACAATTTTAATGAATAAATATATAAATGATTAAGGTCTTTAGAAATTTTCTGAGGCCAAGAAGCAAGGGAAGAGCAATCAGATCATGCAGACCCCCAATAAGAGAGGGCTTTGAGTGTCACTATGAATGTGCTGGAAGATCAATGGAGGAAAGGAGAGAGTAGAGGTTTTAATGGGCTTGATAAACAGGACAGGAGACTTCCTTCTGTGACAGCAAAAGAAATAAACCTAGGCTGGTGAAAAATCATTTCCACTGGAACAGCGCTTCTCAACGCACACCCCTGCGGACCTCTTACCTGCATCCTCTGTTTCATTCATTCCTACTGACCTGGGAATATGAATACTGTCTCTTGTCTCTTCACATGCCAAGGCTCTTTGCTCTGCTCCAGAAACGTGACCAGGTATGGCTTAGAGACAGCAAGACCTGTGTATTGGAAAATAGGACATGACATTTGCTGTGGTTCTCAAAGTAATTTCTATCCTGGTAGCATATCCTGGTAGTAGTAGAAAAGAGAAGATATAAAGGGAGATTCTAGAAAATTCTTTCTCTGAATGTTGTTTCCTGCCATTAAAATACTTAGAAAACCCTTCCAATTGGCAGATTCTGAGTTCCGCTACAACTACTACCAAAACAAAGGTAAAAGAAATCAAGATGTTGGCTACAGTATTTTATAGCACTGAATTTCTGTAATTTCTATAATTACCACTGCAGTTAGGATGTATACTAAGAAAGAGGGTGGTTGAAGACAAGAATATGCACATTTTCTTGTCTGTACAAACCAGTGCCCATTTTTTTTTTCCTTAGAAGAATCTGAAATTTACTCTTGAAAAGTAGAAGCTCCCAAGAGATATTCCTTAAAGGAAGGAAATTAAATGTTGGTAGTAAATAAGGAATTCTGTAGGGAAGTTGTTCTCACCCAATGAGACCAGGTTTCTGTAGTTCTCTAACATCACATCTTATACAAATTCTGCTGTGCAGGGTCCAGGCATTCCCACTCCTCTTGAGAGAAATCAATGGCCACATCCCTGAAGGTCAACAGCTCCTGAAATAAAAATAAGTGAATAAATAGCACATTGACCATGTAATCATTGACGGAGTTCTTGATTTGATCCAAGATGAGTTAGGCAAACTGGTGCTGATACAGATAAATGACCTTAATTATTAAATAAGATACTTTTTAACACAGTGATGTATTATCTAACTCTGAGGAAAGAGGATGACATAAGATCCACAAAACCAGTGTAGATAACATAAAAGCAAAGTTAAGGCATCCAGACAAGAATATACATTTTAAGTGGTACATTTATATTATACAAGATAATCCATGCACAGTTCTCAGATAAGAAAATCAGTGAGTTAGAAGAGTACTTGTCAAACTTTCCTGTGTATATGAATTGGAGCTCTTATTAATGCACAGATTAGGATTCCATAGTTCTGGGGTGGTTTATGAATATGTAGCAAGGCTCACTAGTAATATCAATGTCAACAATCCAAGAGATATTTCTGAATAGCCATTGTCCCTCTGGGAGTTAAAGACTCCTCTCTCCTGGAGTCTGTAGTAAGTAATATTACTGTCCTGACTCAATGGGCATCTATCTTGAGACCCAGTTTGGTCCTGGGAGAGAGCTACTGACAAAATAAATAAAATAAAAACTACTCTGCGAGCTCTATGTGATAGGGAAAGAGTTCTGTGACATGTTGGAGAACAGAGGACATATCCCCTTTAAAAGTGGAGGTTCAGGAAGCCAGATGCAGGATTTCAGAAAGCAGCAGTCAGTGTGATATATAGGTCTTAGATCACCCGAGTAACCCTTAACTAAGAAACAGAAACAGAGAGAAGATCCAAGTAAGTAAAACTTGCAATGAAAAGGGGATTTACAACAGGTAACTGAAATTTGTAAGAGTAGGAATTTTTTTCTAAAAGTATATGCCAATAAATTGGAGGATAAAGAAGAAATGGACACATTTCTGAACACGTATGGCCTATCAAAATTGAACAAGGAGGATATAAAAACTTAAACATATCAATAATAAGCAATGAGATTGAATCATTAATAAAAAGTCTCGCAATAATGAAAAGCCTAGGAAGGGACGGATTCACTGCAGAATTTCACCAGAACTTTTCAAGTTACTGATACAGGAACTGGAGGTGTGGCTCAAGTGGGAGAACACCTGCTTAGTAAGCACAAAGTCGTAAGCTCAAACCCCAGTACCAAAAACAACAAAAAGATATTGGCGCAGGCAACAATTTCCTTAATAGGATTCCAATAGACCAGGAAACAAAAATGAAGAGTTGACAAATAAGAATACGTTACATTAAGAGCATCTGCACAGCAAAAAAAAAAAAAAAAGCCAAAAAAACCCCAAAACAATCAACAGAGGAAAGAGGCAACCTATAAGGTTAGAAGGATGTCTTTATCAGCTATTCATCTGACAAAGGAAACATCCAGAATATATAAAGAACTAAAAAAACGTAACATCAAAACAGTAAGTCATTCAATCAAAAAATGTGCCAATGATCTGTGCACACAGTTCTCAAAACAAGTACAAATGGCCAATAAATATATGAAAAATATTTGAGATCTTTAGCCATCAGGGAAATGTAAACCAAAACTACACTGAGATTCTATCTCACTTCAGCATGACTATAATAAAGAAAACAAAAAACCCACAAATGATGGCAAGGATGTGAAGAGAACAGAAACTTACATAAGTCTATTACAAATTAATATACATATACACTGTTGGCTGGGAATGTAAATTAGTACAGCTACAATGAAAGCATTACTGAGATTTCTCAAAAAACTAAAAATAGAACCCATAAGCCCATATAGCCCATAAGATTGGGCTATACCAACTCCTGGGGATTTATCGGAAGGAAATGAAGTCATCATACAATAAAGATACCTGCACACCAATGTTTATTGTGGCACTATTCACAACAGACAAGTTATGGAATCAGCCTAGGTACCCATCAACAGATGAATGCATAAAGAAAATATGATACATATGCATGATTGAGTATTACTCAGTCATAAAGAAGGAAATCATGCTATTTGCAGGAAAATGGGTGGAAATGGAGGACATCATGTTAAGTGAAACAAGCCAGACACAGTAATTTCTCTCATGTGGAAAATCAAAATGGGGGGGGACGGGACTATTAGGGAAGGGGCCCAGAGGAATAGAAGGGAGCTCAAGAAAGGGTAGAAGGGAATGTGAACACAATCAAAGCATGATATATGCACATGTGAGATCACAGTAAAACCCATTAATGTGTGCAGTTTAGAGAAATTTAAAAGGCAGCAAAACTGATCAAATACTTGTATTTTATGTGTACATATAAAAACGGGAGTACACATTAAAACAGGCTAGAAAAATCTCATGTCAATGAAACTATGTTTCACTGTGTAAAACTTAAAAATCTATTTGAGCATGATGGTTTTGCTATTGTTTTTAAAGACACTATTGAGACATACACAATTATTTTTGGCCTTACTAGCGGGTAGAACTCAGGGCCTTGTACTTGCTAGGCAGGTGCTACAACTTGAGCCACTCTACCAGCCCTTTTTGCATTGGTTATTTTTGAGATAGGGTTCTGCTATCTCAAAACGGTGGTCTGGACAGTGGTCCTCCTATCTGAGTAGCTGGGATGACAACTGTGCCTGGACATTGGTTGAAGAGGAGCTCTCATGAACATTTTGTCCAGGCTGGCCTTGAAGCAGAGATCCTCCCAATCTCTGCCTCCCAAGTAGCTAGGATGGAGACACACATTTAAGGATAGAAACTAAAATAAGAGCTACAGTTTCTGACTCTTACATTCTCTTCACTTTTTCTATTATTTATCATCTACCTTGACTCTTTGGAAATATTTCTTATATTTCAAGCTCAACTAACAAAATAGATTTTTATAGTTAATGAAAAACTGAATCTGAAATATATAAACAAGTTTTTTTTCAAGGTGACAAATCCAGGGAGGAGCAGTGTTGGCTGGAAAATAGACATGTCAAACTCAAGGTTCATATCAGGTCATCCTGAAAGTGGGACATCCTCCTGCCCCTATTCTTGCTCACTGAAGCTCACAGCAGGTTCTACGATTTCACATCCTGAAGCCCAGGACATCCTCTCACCCCTCTTCTTGCTCGTGGAAGCATACTGTGAGTTCATGCAGGATAAACAGAAGGAGGCAGTCCTCTGATATGCTATCAGAAGATCAGTAGTAGCCTAACTCTAAGTTACAATGCCCACATCTTCCACATCACTTCATCGTATTGTGCTGGTGCTCTGTCATCTCACATCACATGACAGAGATCACATCCGCATAGCTCTTATTACAGAAAATTATTATACTTTGTTACTGTTATTAATATTGTCATATTGTGACTAACATAAACTAAATTAATATTGTCATATTGTGACTGATAAAACTGTATCACTGGTCTGTATGTATAGAAAAACACATATATATAGGGTTTGACACTATTCTGCTTCAGACATCTACTGTCATGGAACTTACCTTCTACTGAGAAGGGGGAGCCTGTGTAATACATTCCTAAATAACTTGTAAGTGAACAAGAAATCACAAGGGAAATGAGACTTTTTGTTGAACAAAATGTATTGAACAGTGACATTTGAGTACATTAAGGATTGCCAGATTCTTTCACACTTTTTCCTTTGAGCTGTGAATGAATTCCTCTAGAAGGTGGGCTGCCCTTAGCAATTTGCTTAGCCAATGGAACCTGGCATGTTCAGAACACTAATGGGGTCATTAGAGATAATAGATGGTAATGTAATTAGAAACATGGAATATTCACATTTGAGTATTAGTTTCTAAATAAATGAGTAAGAATCATCTTATTTTTATGTTACAATATCAAAAATAATTGTGAATTTGAAATGTTTAGATAAGAAAAAACATTGGGGAGAAACTTCATGACAGTAGGGTTGGCAATAATTTCTTTGATATGACACCAAAAGCAGAAGCAACAAAAGAAAAGTTGAGTTTTATAAAATTTAAATCTCTGATCTATGAAAGAAACTGCTAACAGAGTAAAAGGCAACCTATGGAATGCAATAAAATATGTGCAAATCTTATTTCTCATAAGATATTAATATCCAGAATACATATATTCTCTAATCCAGAAATTAAAAATCAAAGTAAATTACAAATGGGTCATGGTTGAATAAACAGTCCTGCTAAGATACACAAATGGCTTTCAAACACAGGAGATGTTCAATATCGCTGGTCATTCAGAAAATGGAAATCAAAATCACAATGAAATACCACTTTACACAAATTTTAATGGCCCTGATGGGACAGAAAAAAAGCCAGGAAATATGAAGTGTTGGAAAAGATGCAGAACCTGCATCGTAGTACATTGCTGGGGTTGGGGGATGTAAAAAGATAGAGCCAGTGTGGAAGATGGTATGAAGATTCCTCAAAAAACTAACACAGAATTTATAAATTGATCAAACAATCCTACTCTAAATATATACTATGACTGGAACAGATATTTGTACAGTTAATAGCTTCATTATTCAAAATACCTAAAATATGGAAATAATACAAGCATCACAGAAGGATAAATAGATAAACAAAATGTGCTCTATACATATATTGGCATATTTCTAAGCTTTCAAAAGTAAGAAAATTTTTTACATGGGTGAAGCTTGAAGGCAATATGTGAGATGAAGTAGTCCAGTCACAAGAGGACAAACAGTTTGAATTTGCTCATGTAAGGTTTGTAGAGTAGACAAATGCACAGACATAAACTAGAATCGTGGTGCTGCCGAGGCCTGAGGTAGAGCAGAATAGGTATGCTCTGTGTGATGCGTACAGAGTGTCATTTGGGAAAGGTGGCCAATGGTAACGACAAATTGATGGGAGTATACTTAATGCCACTAAACTTAATGCCACTAAACTAAAACATTTATGAATGATGAAAACATCGCATTTTAGTTTATATACATTTAATGTCAATAAAACATTTTGTTTTTAACCAACTATTAGTTTTAGTACAAAATCAGAGACTATTGATATACAAATCTATTTTCCCTATTAATTTTAAGTGATTATTCGAAATA